CCCCCCCCCCCCCAGCTCCTGGGTCTGTCTCCACTGGAGGGGTTTCCTTCCCTCAAACTGCTTCTTGCTTTAGGTTCAGGCCCCACAAACCTCTTTTCAAGCAACAATTGTTCACGTTGTTGCTGTGACCATGAGCTGGAGAGATCCCCATCGATGATTAAACGTTGTGCAGGCACGATTTTGGGCCCTGAATAGCAAAATGAAATATTGGAAGTGCCTTCACAAGTAGCTCTCACCTGCCTGAAGGAGTTGCTGGTCCATTTGCCAGTCTGGTGGGATTTTATTCAAGTTATTTGGCAGGGGCTTTATTCTGGTTGAGATGATGCAGTTGCTGTAGTGTGTTGGCCTGCTGCACAATGAATGCAGGGCAGTCGTGGTTTCATGGTGAGCCCTAATGCCATTCGAGTGTGCTGGGGGCAGCAAAAACTCACTGTGCCAGCCTGGAAGCACCCTGGTAACTTCGGATAATGTTCAAGTACTTACAGATGAATTTGTTGAATGAGGAGAGCACACAGAGAGGCACACTACTTACTACAAGAAGATTGGTATCTGGTCAGAGGGTAGAGGCCCAAATTAGTGCCATGCAGAGAGACAGCAGCACTCCTGCCTAGAAGCCAACAGAAAATGAATATGGAGATTTACTTCCACCAATTGCCCAATCTACATACTGCAAACTGCAACTGAACATGCAGCTGGTTAAATAGGTACCTGCAGCCCCTGTTGAGTCCTTTCTGCCAACCCATATGTGGGGGTGTTGCCCATCCTGGGTGAGGATGGGAGGGATACAGCACAGGAGGTATCCAGTCCTAGGACCCAGCAGGTATTTTGGGCAAGGGATGGAAAGGAGAAAATAACAAGTGTAACCTGCAGAGCAAAAGCAAATTGGCAACTTGAGTGGGCTTTTTGCTGCAAATAAGCATGCATAAGGGTGTGAGCAGGTAGTGCCCATCAGGATGATGAGAATGCAGGTGAGTGGAGCCAGCGCAGACTTACGGGGGCTGGTGCACTCCTACAGCCCCTCTGCCAACCCTCTCTCCCTCTCTGGGGGAGACACTGCAGGAGAGAGTAGCATCCATCAGGCTGCTGGACCTCCTGGCTGGGATGCTTTTCCAGCAGATCTTAGACCTTGTGGAACAAGGCTGCCACCTGAAAGTGTAAGCATAGCCCCTCATCACCCTCACCCCAGCTGGCAACAGACCCTCTGTGACATGGTCATGCCTCATCCTCACCTGGATGACAGTCCAGGACATGGGGAACCTGGGTGCCTTGGCTTTTCCCCGGTCCTGGCGGTACCAGGGCATCTTTTATCTCAGCGTCTTGTCACAGCAGCTGCCAAGGGTCTGTGCTCCTGGGGAGGGGTTCAAAGGTCACAGTCCTGGGGGCTACTCCAAGTCCAGTGCCTTCAGACAGTGCCTGGGCATACGGCTGAAGTGGTGGCAAAGGAAGGACCTCTGTTTGAAGACTGGGAGGAATGCAGTCCCTGGTCAGCCTTACCCAAATGGATCCTGGATGGGATTTTTCTTGGGGTGGTGGGTGGCCTGCTGCTCTTGTTAACTCTATTTGGCATTGAATATGGTAACCAAAGGAGCTGGGCAGTGTCAAAATCAGGGCAATAGACCCCACAGCAGGTCCCTTCCACTCCTGCTTAAACCCACTTCTTCTCCTCTGTGCAGAAGGATGCCAGAAGCCCCAGTGGAACAAGGTCCACTTTAACCCAAAGAAGAAGAATTACAGGCTTAATGAAGAGGTGACACTGACCTGTTCTGCCAATAGTCTCCTTCCCCTTGCTGTGATCAGATGTGCAAAAGAAATGTCTCCAGGTTGGAAGAATGCTTGGGAGGTGAAGGACATCGAGGGAGCATGGCAGCGGGTGGTAGTGAGCCTGACCTGCCCCACAGGTAAATGCAGGAGCACTAAGTCTCCCCTGCTACATGTGCTTCTCACCAAGAAGGGACCTTTGGCATCCTGCTATGTCCATGAGACACCTTGTCCACAGCTCAGGGATGGGCCTCAATTGGGAGTAGTCTCCAAGATGAGGAGGGAAAGAAGCCTCCAGTGTGGGACAGAATTTTTGGCACCGTCCCTCCATCTCCTTGTCTGTTCCTGAGTTGCAGGACATGGGGAAGTCAGAGGAGGCCAGATCCTGCCCCTCATTTCACTTCTCTCCCAATGTCCTATACTACCACCTTGCCCAGGCACACACTCCTTTCCTTCACTTGGGGACCCTTGGGTTTTGTGCAGTGTTGAATGCTGACACCACAGTCAGTCACAGCAAAGCCTCACCCCCCTCCTGCCTGAGCATCTCCTGTCCCTAAGAAGGAATCTCACACTTTTTACCCTGACAGGGAGGTGCCCAAAACCACAGTGGGAGGGAGGAGTCCAGTTTGAACCTAACAAAACTTTTTACAAACTGAATGAAGAAACGACACTGAAGTGCACTGGAGACCTCCAGCCATCCTTCCCCGAGGTCAAATGTGCAAGGCAATTTCTGCGAATAGATGAAAGTTCTGGAAAAGCAGCCTATGGAGATGCCTGGTGGGGCAGGAACAGCACAGGTGCCTGGATATACATTGAGGGAGCCGTAGTGTGTGTTGGTAAGTGAAGCAGCAGCAGCTCTCCCATGTCCCTTCAATAGCCACTTGTGACGTGGCCCAGCTGAGCAGCAGGCATGCCACAGTCCCTCCTTGAGGCTGTGTTGCCTGTGCAAAGTGTTGAAGAAGACAGGCCGGGCAGGAGATAAGAGACAAGGTAGTGCCAGCTGGGCAAGCTGGCAGGTCCTGCAGTCTTTTCTGAGCAGGCCAGAAGGAAAGTCCCTTCCCAGCATGTTTTGCTGAGGGGTAACGTACTGGGACGTGGACGTGCCACCTCCCCTCTCCCTTCAGCAGCCGGAGGGATTGCTGGGGATTGGTGGTATTGCACAACCTATACCTGCCCTACGTCCTTGAAACTTTCCACCCCAACTAACATCCATTTTCAGCACAGCCAGAAACATGCCAAAGACCCCTGTGGGACTCAAGGCTCCAGCTGAAACCGGACCAGAAGAATTACAAGAAGAATGAGGAAGTGGTGCTGGTGTGCCCCTATGGTTTCCAGCCATCCTTCTCCAATGTCAGATGTGCAAGGAAATCTCTGGGAATAAACGAAAGTTCTGGAGAAGCAGCATATGGAGATGGCTGGGAGGGCAAGAGCAGCACAGGTGCCTGGATACACATTGAGAGAGCCGTAGAGTGTACTGGTCAGTGAAGAAGCAGCAGCAGGTCCACCTAGAGCAGGTTGCACAGGAACATGTCCAGGCAGGTTTTGAATGGACAGAGGAGACTCCACCACCTCCCTGAGAAGCCTATTCCAGTTCTCTGCCATCCTCAAAGTAAAGCCATATTCGCCCAGCCTCTCCCTGTATCCCTATCCTGTTGGGATAGAAAAACTCCTCTTTTCAGCAGTTTTGTGACCCACAGATACCCTGGAAAAGTCTAGGATGGGGAAGAGCTCCCCTTTTCCACGCCCAGTAGCGTTCCCTGACATCCCTTACCAGAGTCAGCTCTGGCTGAGCTTGGGCTTTCCGAGCACCCTCTCAGCACACAGAGGCAGTGCTTCTCTTGATCTCCTATTTACTGCCTCTTGTGCTGCAGCTCAGTTCCCTGTTTGGCTGAGCTGGTTCCTGGGTAGTTTAAAAAAGACTTTGTCGATTTTCTTGCCCAGGGAGGTGGCCACACTTGCACCATGGTCTCTCTCCTGGTCCTGACTTGGATGCTCCAGTCGGTCCATCGCCTGTTGCTGGTTGCATAGGAAAGCTCTAAACAAACAAGCAAAGCATGCCACTGCCTTATTGGGGCGATGTCTTTGGAGTAGCAGACCCACAGTTGCCCCCTTCCCAGATTGCTGATGTCTTTCTCCCCTCTGCCGGTGTCCCAGTGAGACACAGGCTCCACTTTTCCACAGAGCAGAGTTTCCTCAATGAAGAACTGCCAAAGAGCTCTTTGATCTGTCCTCCGATGCCTGAGCATCCCCTGTCCCTGAGAAGGAATCTCACACTTTTTACTCTGACAGGGAGATGCTCAAAACCCCAGTGGGATGAAAGACTCCAGTTTGTACCAAGCAAAAACAGTTATGAAGAGAACGAAGAACTGACGCTGAACTGCTCTGGAGATCTCGAGCCGTCCTACACCAAGGTCAAATGTGCAAGGGAATTTCTGGGAATCAGTTCTGGAGAAGCAGTCTATGGAGATGCCTGGTGGGGCACAAACAGCACAGGTGCCTGGACATACATTGAGAGAGCCGTAGAGTGTATTGGTAAGTGAAGCAGCAGCAGCTCTCCCATGTCCCCTCTCTACCTTCACCCTTGATAGCCACTTGTGACGTTGTCCAGCTGAGCAGCAGGCACGCCACAGTCCCTCCTTGAGGCTGTCTTGCCTGTGCAAAGTGTTGAAGAGGACAGTCCAGGCAGGAGACAAGAGGCAATTTGGAGCCAGCTGGGCAAGATGGCAGCTCCTGGAGTGTTTCCTGAGCAGGGCAGGCGTGGGGCCCTGCTGATGGGTGTCGGGGCCTGGTGCAGGATCTGAGACCAGCAATGAGGTGCCCACATGGGTGCTATGGTCTTTGCTGCACCTCCAAGTGCCACTTGGAAGTGCACAAATCTACATGTTGATGCCGAATTTGCCCCAAAAGGCGAGATAGAAACTGCTCAGAGACTAAGTTTTCAAGTCCATAAGCAGGAGGTATTTATTAGCAACGCGTTGGGGAACTCTTTGTCCAGGGCGGCCTGGTTTCAATGTGCCCCTTGCTGCCCATGCAAGTGAGGGACCTTGGGGACATCTTATGCAGCCCCAGGACTTGGAGTGGAGGGAACTGAAGGGAGCTCTGAGTGCCTGGGGTTGGGTCAGCGCTTGGCATTGAGGCTGGAGGCTGGGGGAGATGCAGCTGGGGGAAGAGCAATGTCCTCCATTGGGTGATGGGGACCTGGGCTGTCCTGGGCAGGCACAGAGCTGTGTTGAGGGTGGGGATGGCCGTGTGGAGGTAGCCCAGTGGTCAGGGGTGGTGGGCAGGGAGAGACAAGGTGGGAAAGCCCCTGCTTCGGGCTGTGCTAACACTCACTTTTGCCTCTGCCAGAAACGTGCAAAAGGCCCAGCTGGGACCCCAGACTCCAGCTGGCACCTGACCGGAAGAATTACAAGAAAAACGAAGAAGTGGTGCTGAGCTGCCCTCAGAATTTCCAGCCATCTTTCAGCCATGTCAAATGTTCAAGCGAAGTCCAAAGCACCAGAGGTGGGAAATCAGTATACAGAGAAGACTGGCGTGGGAAGGACAGCAGAGGTGACTGGATCCACATTCAAGTCAACGTTGAGTGCATTGGTAAGGGAGGCATCAGGAGGTCTCCTGCCTGCCCAGTTCTGCCCTTCCTGAGCAGGGGAAGGTGGGCCACGGCTGCACAGGGGCTCCAGGGGACCTTCTGTGGGGCCTGGGCTAGTGCCAGCATTAGTCTCTGAGGGTCCCACAGGAAGGGGTTTTGGGATCAAGGTGGGGGCAGTGGCCAGAGCTGCCGGCGCCTGGCCAGGGCAGAGCTCACAGGATGCAGACCTCCAGTCTGCAATTCATAAATGATTGGGAGGTTCCTGGTGTAGGTGCCTGGGTGACATGGGGCTCACTGAGAGCTTCTGGCAAGAGCATGTGCCAAGGGGTGGTGGGCTACAGTGCTGGAGGTCACAGAATCATGGAATCAGGGAATTGTCAGAGTTGGAAGGGACCTCTAGAGATCATCTAGTCCAACTCCCCTGTTAAAGCAGGATTGCCTAGAGGACATTACTCAGGACTGCATCAAGGCAGGTCTTGAAAATCTCCAGAGAAGGAGATTCCACAACCTCCCTGGGCAGCCTGTGCCAGGGCTCTGTCACTCTCACCATAAAGAAGTTTTTCCTCATATTTGAATGGAACTTCCTATGTTCCAGCTTGTTCCCATTGCCCCTTCTCCTATCGCTGGAAACCACTGACAAGAGTCCGGCTGCATCATCCTTCAACCCACCCTTTAGATACTTGTAAACATAGAGAAGGTCTCCCCTCAGTCTTCTCTTCTCCAGGCTAAAGAGCCCCAGCTCTTTGAGCCTTTCCTCATAAGGGAGGTGCTCCAATCCCTTAATCATCTTAGTTGCCCTACGCTGGACTCTCTCCGGTAGTTCCCCGTCTCTCTTGAACTGGGGAGCCCAGAACTGGACACAGTATTCCAGGTATGGCCTTAGCAGTGCAGAGTAGAGGGGGAGAATGACCTCTGTCGACCTGCTGGCCGCACTCTTCCCTATGCAGCCCAGGATCCCATTGGCCATCTTGGCAACAAGGGCACATTGCTGGCTCATGGAAAGTTTGACAGGTCAGACTGGCATGTGTGGCAATGTGGCTGAAATCATCATGCCATGTTCTGAGGGATCACAGGTCTCTGTCCCCTGTGCCCTCTCAGCCTGTGCAGGCAGGGCAAAGGCCCAGCCTTGTCCCCATGTGCCGGTCTCCCCTGCTGGTCCCTGCTGCATGCTGTTCCTGGTGTAGGTGCCTGGGTGACATGGGGCTCACTGAGAGCTTCTGGCAAGAGCATGTGCCAAGGGGTGGTGGGCTACAGTGCTGGAGGTCACAGAATCATGGAATCAGGGAATTGTCAGAGTTGGAAGGGACCTCTAGAGATCATCTAGTCCAACTCCCCTGTTAAAGCAGGATTGCCTAGAGGACATTACTCAGGACTGCATCAAGGCAGGTCTTGAAAATCTCCAGAGAAGGAGATTCCACAACCTCCCTGGGCAGCCTGTGCCAGGGCTCTGTCACTCTCACCATAAAGAAGTTTTTCCTCATATTTGAATGGAACTTCCTATGTTCCAGCTTGTTCCCATTGCCCCTTCTCCTATCGCTGGAAACCACTAAATGATTGGGAGGTTCCTGGTGTAGGTGCCTGGGTGACATGGGGCTCACTGAGAGCTTCTGGCAAGAGCATGTGCCAAGGGGTGGTGGGCTACAGTGCTGGAGGTCACAGAATCATGGAATCAGGGAATTGTCAGAGTTGGAAGGGACCTCTAGAGATCATCTAGTCCAACTCCCCTGTTAAAGCAGGATTGCCTAGAGGACATTACTCAGGACTGCATCAAGGCAGGTCTTGAAAATCTCCAGAGAAGGAGATTCCACAACCTCCCTGGGCAGCCTGTGCCAGGGCTCTGTCACTCTCACCATAAAGAAGTTTTTCCTCATATTTGAATGGAACTTCCTATGTTCCAGCTTGTTCCCATTGCCCCTTCTCCTATCGCTGGAAACCACTGACAAGAGTCCGGCTGCATCATCCTTCAACCCACCCTTTAGATACTTGTAAACATAGAGAAGGTCTCCCCTCAGTCTTCTCTTCTCCAGGCTAAAGAGCCCCAGCTCTTTGAGCCTTTCCTCATAAGGGAGGTGCTCCAATCCCTTAATCATCTTAGTTGCCCTACGCTGGACTCTCTCCGGTAGTTCCCCGTCTCTCTTGAACTGGGGAGCCCAGAACTGGACACAGTATTCCAGGTATGGCCTTAGCAGTGCAGAGTAGAGGGGGAGAATGACCTCTGTCGACCTGCTGGCCGCACTCTTCCCTATGCAGCCCAGGATCCCATTGGCCATCTTGGCAACAAGGGCACATTGCTGGCTCATGGAAAGTTTGACAGGTCAGACTGGCATGTGTGGCAATGTGGCTGAAATCATCATGCCATGTTCTGAGGGATCACAGGTCTCTGTCCCCTGTGCCCTCTCAGCCTGTGCAGGCAGGGCAAAGGCCCAGCCTTGTCCCCATGTGCCGGTCTCCCCTGCTGGTCCCTGCTGCATGCTGTCACCGCAGCAGCCAGATTTTGGGCTTGGGCTCTGTTGCCTTCTCGGGAGGCCTCAGGGTGTTGTGGTCCTCCGTGAAGGAGGCCAGGGCGAGCTTGTGCTGGATTTAGAAGCCCAGTCTGATGTGCTGAATGTCAGGAATGAGACTCACCATGTGCCCCGTGAGCCTTCAGGCTGGGCCACAACGAGAGGGCTCAGGGTTGGTTGCCTGCTGGCAGCTGGGATCACGGGGAGTGTGGGGACGTGGGTGGGAGGGGACGGGGATGCTTCTCCTCTGGATCCTGGAGCAGGGCCCAAAGGGGCATCTCCATGTGTGACCCAAGCTTCCTTGTGCCCTTGTAGCCTGTGCCAGCTCATGTTGTCACACATTGCCGGGCAAGACCAGTGAGTCTATCAGGCCCCAGGCCAAAAATTAAGCCCTTCATCCCAGTGCAAGCATTGAGCACTGCATGGAGCCATGAGTGCCTGGAGCTCTAGCTTATGCGGCCCCAGGACTTGGAGTGGAGGGGACTGAGGGAACCCCAAGTGCCTGGGGTTGGGGCTGGAGGCTGTGGGAGATGCTGCTAGGAGAAGAGCAATGCTCTCCCTCAGGTGATGGGGATGTGGGCTGTCCCAGGCCACCTGTATACAGAGACTCGTGGTTGTGAAAGGATAGCAGAGGTGACTGGGTCCACATTAGGTCCAAGGTGGAGTGCATTGGTAAGGAAGACATCAGAAGTAGGATGTTACTTTGCTGGTGTGGGATGCTGAGAATGTGCCTGGGTGAGAGTCAGCATAGAAAGTTCATGGTTTTCCCTTGGGCCCTAGTGCCATGAAGTGTGATGACCTGAAAGCATCTCCTGCAAAGGCAGAAGGAAATGTGTCCTGTTGTGCTCTACTGTGGCACCAAAATAAGACTCAACCACGTAATTCAGACAGTATAAGGGCAGGACGACCCCTTTGTTGGTCCTTTTGATCTGTCACGTAGCCCAGATGGGGAAACGCTGTCCTGCACTTCCCCTTGTTCCCCAAAAGGCTGTGTCCAGCTTCCAAACATACCATTATCCCCCACACCTCCTGATACCCTGCCAGGGAGCTGGAGTCACCAGTTCCATCCTCTCGCTTTCCCTCCCACTCAGCTGGGTGGGGAGCAGGGCTGTGTGACCGCAGCGCCCGTGCAAGGCTGGCAGGGGAAGGGAAGGAAGTAACTCTCTTGCAATGTTTTCTTTACAGAGATCCTCCAGGTTGTCTCTGAGATTTCCAGCACCAGCATCACACTGAACTGGACCTGCAGGCTCCCTGATGCCTGCCAGCACATGCGGGCCACGTGCCATCTGGCCTTGCCTTCCTCCCCTCCCTGTGAGGCTGAGGAGGTACAGGGAGAGGAGATGCTGCAAGGCCAGGAGGGAACATTCATTGCCGGGCAAGACCAGTGAGTCTATCAGGCCCCAGGCCAAAAATTAAGCCCTTCATCCCAGTGCAAGCATTGAGCACTGCATGGAGCCATGAGTGCCTGGAGCTCTAGCTTATGCGGCCCCAGGACTTGGAGTGGAGGGGACTGAGGGAACCCTATCAGTGACGTTCCTGGGATTGGGACTGCTCAGATCCTGTGTGGCTCTGGGGAAGGGGCTGTGCAGGGCCCTGGAGCACACCCTGTCCCCTCTTTGCTCTCCTCCTCCTCACCACACCAGTGCTGCTGCTGCTGTGGCACATGCAGCCTTTGTGGGGAAAAACCCTGCTTGAGGGATCCCTTTGCAGCTTGTCCCCTGGGCCAGGAGCTGCCAGCACCCTGCTCTGGGCTCAGACCCTCCTCACTGTCCCCATGTGTGACCCTGTCCTCCTGTGCTTCCAGTGCCAGACAAACCGGAGAAGCTGTGGCTGGATCCCAACACGGGATCTCTCACATGGGAGCCGCTGCCCTCCTGCAAAGGAGAGATCATTGGATACCAGGTACCAGCGGGACCACGGACACCCCATGGTCCTCCTCACCTTGCCAGGCTCCTCCCTGCCTGGAGCTCTCTGCAGGCAGGTGAGGAGAATGGGGAAGGGAAAGTCTTGATGACTTGTGTGAGCAAAGAGCAGTTCAGGGCTCCTCTTGTGGGGGATGTCACACAGCGCCCGCAGTGTTGCAGGACCATTCCAGTGACCTGGCCGCAGTTTCATTACACTTCTTAAAAGGAAGAGTCTCCCTCCTGCCCCCAGCCCTTCACAGATAACTGGCCCTTTGCTCACAGGGGGCAACCCCTCTGACATCTTGAGTGTTGGCTCCAAATTCCTCCTCTCCTCTTTTTCTCTGCTTTGAAGTCCATGCGTGGGTGCAAGGCTCCAGCTGGTTCCTCTCTGGGAACCTTCCATACCTGGGGCATTCAGAGGGAAGGGGGGCTTTGCTCTGTCTCAGGGTGCTATGGGCAGTTCCCAGAGGACGGGGGGAGCTGCTGTCCTCCAGCTCTGTCTCCTCTCCCCAGCTGAACATCACAACAAGGAGTGCACAGGATGGCAGCTTCCTGGAGATGGAGAAGCTGCAGCTGAGCAGCTCCATCACAGTGTCTCTGTGTCCTCGGCCACAGCTGGGGCATTTGGTGGCCATGGTAGGGACGCCTTTGCCCACAGGGTGGACAGTGGGACAGGAGTGGCCTGAGCTCTCCCTTCCATCTCCTCCAACAGGCAGAGAAGGTCACCTGTGTCTGCTACAGCTTTTCTGTTGGTAAGTGGTCTCCTTGCTCCCTGCGCCCAAGGGTTTCTCCTAGACATTCCCTTTTCCCAGCCTGGCCAGTTCCCATGGAGAGGAGCTGTCCAAGCACAGGAGCTGAGCAATCTCATTATCCTGCTCCCATCTTCCTGGAAGTTCTCTGGATCTTGAGGCTGTCTATGGTGGATGGGCTCTGGGCAACCTCGGGCCACATGTGCAGGTGTGGCAGAGATGGCATCTGGACATGGTGCATCACCCTTGCGATGATTGTATACTGCACCTCAATCCTGGTGCTTCCCTCTTGCATGTGCAATCCCAAAATCGCAAACACCTCACCAGGCTCTGGCCACACTTGGGCCAGTCAGGGAGACAGGGATCACACTGGAGGGTATCACACCAAGCAAGCACCTACTCTCTCTGCACCATCTTAGCTGTCCTCTAATGCAAAGTCTCGGGGTGGGCAGGGGGGAGTTGAGACAAGGTGCTTTTTACTCCATGCCCCTGTGGCATCTCCTGACTCCCGGTTCAGGCTGTGCAGGAGCCTGAGTCTAGTCTGTGCTGGTTACAGGGCAGGAGCCGGGATCTCTGCTGGGCAGGATGCCCGTGGTTATGGCAGTAGCACTGGTCATGGCACTCCTGACATTGGGGATTTTGCTCTTCTTCGTGCTCTTCAGGTCTGTATGTGCCTTGTCTCTCTTGCTCTCTGTCAGCACCTTGCACTGCCAGCAGGTGTCCAAGTGGACCCTGAGATAAAGCAAAGTGGGAGGCAGGGCTGTTACATGAGCAGCAGCCTCTCCTCTGTCTCTGTCCTTTGCTATTCTGTGGGCCTGACTTGTTGTTTTGCAGGCGAAACCGCAACCATTCAAAATCCTCAGAGGACAACAGCACTGTCCCCCTGCGAAGATGTCGAGGAGGTGCGGTATGAGCAAAAGCTTTGCATGCCCTGTCTGTACAGGCTGGCTGCTAAAAGCACAGGCAGAGTGCTTACAGGCCCTGTAAGGTCCTTACAGGGACAAGGGACCAGAGCTGGCTGGCATGGGCTGGCTGGCATCACCTCCCAGGAGAAAGGGATCTGCATGGGGAGGGACAATCCAGGGGTTGGTGGGGTCATGATCACCATAATGTCAGCTCAGTCCCAGCTGCAGAGCTCCAGGGCCAGCCATCAGGTGTGTGCTAAACTCCTGGCCTCATGGTCTCCCTAGGTGTGTGCAAGATGAACACACAGATCCCAGTGGAGGAACTGCTGGAGGCTCTGAAGAGGTTTAAGAGGGCAGAAATAGAGGCAGAGCAGGCAGAGGATGAATCAGTCGACAGGCATGATGCTGGGCGTCTGAGAGAGTATCAGGTTTGGTCTAGCTTTCCTTTCCCACCTGGCTGCCCTGTCCAACCCAGCCCTCGCCCCTTGGTTGTGTGATGCCCAAGGGGTGCAGTTGGCCTTGGCCAGCCCCAGAACATGCATCAATGCAGAACGGGCTTGTCTTCTTCCTCTGCAGCAACTGTCCTCCACTTTGCTGCATCCCTGCAATGCCGGGAAGGAGCTGTGCAATCAGAGCAAGAACCGCTACACCAGCATCATCCCTTGTAAGCACAGCTCTCCAGGGTTTGGCACAGGCACCTGGAGGTGGTTGGGTGGTACAGGATGCTGGGCTGGACTAGGTGCCCCTTCAGCAGTGCTGAGCCCTTCGTCTCATCCTTTGTGGCCACTGAAACCTGGAAGAATTTTCCAAAATCCTCACGTTGGCCCCAATTCTTTATGTCCAGTTGGAGAACCCTGGTTCTGCTCCTCAAATCTCCCTGCAAGCTTAATTATTCATCATTGTGTTCCTGTTCCTGCTGTTAGTCATTGCTGAATGCTGCTGTATTCCACCCAGAGGTAGCTATTATTTCAGTGGGAAAGCAAAGAGAGTGGCCCAATGTCTATCAAAACTTAAAGCTCCTTCAGGCCCCACATGTTATGCCATTGCATTGCATATGCCATGTAATGCCATTGCGTTAACAGCCTTCCCTAAAAAACGTGTTGTGTCTCCTGCTGCGCCTCCTGCATATCACCTTTTGTCTCGTTAGCTGTTGTTTACCTCTGAACATGTCCTGAGGCCTGAAGTGCTGCTGAGGAGGGAGCGGACAGTCCTGGACTTTCCTAAATTACATCCTCCTCCTTTCACTGCTGCCTCAAAGAGACAGCGCACCAACTCCCACCTCCCTTCTCTTTCAGACGATCACTGCCGTGTGGTGTTGCAGCCCACTGACACAGGGAACGGATACATCAATGCCAGCTACGTGGATGTAGGTAGTGAAGGATACAGGAGTGACGTGCCTGGGCAGGGTAGGAGAGGTGCCTAGCTGCCCTGGGTGAGGACAATCCTGCTCACATGGGTGGCGCCAAGGTCTGGCACTTGTTGCCTTCAGGTCCTGGTAGATCTTGGGATATCACTTTCCTTGTATCCTCTGAGCTGCTGGGAGCGCTAAGGGTTTATGTGCAGTTCTCACCACTACTAAAAAGGGACCTGTGTGAGGGCACAGGAGCCGAGGTGCAGGCCCTGGGTACCCACTCTCTGAGCTGACCAGGAGTGGTGTTGTGGGACACACTGTGCAGAAGGCTCTGGTCTCTTGTGCCTGTGGCGATGAGTCCTTTATTTAATTTCCCATTAAGTGTTTAACCTGTGTGATTGGAGCTGTTTAAACCTCTCCCCCACAGAGCTACCGGAGTCCACGCTTCTTCATTGCAGCTCAAGGTAGGTGCTCCCAGCCCTCATGCTCAGGAGATGCTGGTTGCTGCCCTGAGCACTGAGGGGAGTGGGGAACTGAGATAGCAGCCTAGGAGCTGTTAATGGCTCAGTCCAAGCCCTGTACATCCTGGGCCTCTGCCTTGGATGGAGGTTATGGCTGCAGCAGGACATGGAAGGCCTCAGTGGACGTTTGGCAGCAGCCAGCTGGAGCTGGACCCTGCACTGCCCGGGCTGTGGAGATGGTCCTTTCACCCACAATCCTGCTTTGTTGCCTTTGGTGGCTGGTGTGACAGGGACAAACCTGCGAATGCCTGACATGTCTGTGCTCCGTGCAGTCGGAGACAGGCTCTTTCCAACAGTGCAAAGCTGGAATGGGTTAGTCTGCTCCGTGCAGCTTGTGGTGATGAGGTCCTAGGCTCCTCATAGAGCTGCAGAAATGTTCTTCGGGAAATAGGATCCTAAATGTGGAAGCAGCTCGGGGTCATCTTGAGGGTCTGGATGAGGAAGCCCCAAAAGCAGCAGTGAATCCCTAACTTATGCTGGGCTCACCTGCCCTCCCTCTTCCTTGTCCCAGTTTCTGACATGGGTGTTGAAGTCAAGGTGCCCAGTACCCCCGGCCAGGTGTTACTCTGCCAAGGCTGTGCAGTGTTAGTCCCCTGGCAGAGGGAAGCCCAGGGCTGCTCGTAGCCTGGGAATGTCTGAGCTGTACCTGTGAGCAGTTATAGCCCCACAGCTTGGACACCTGTACAGGGCTCTCCTCTTCCTCCTCAAGGACCCTTGCCTGGGACAGTCATGGATTTCTGGCAGATGGTCTGGCAGGAGAAGATCTCAGTCATTGTCATGCTGACGGGCTTAGTGGAACAAAACAAGGTAGAGAAACCAGCTTGGGCATCCCCAGAACCCAGGCTTCCTTGCCTTTTCTGCTTTGCTTTGCTCTCAGTGCAGCTGTCAATGAGGGCAGAGAGCAGCTCTGCACTACTGATGGCTTGCAACACACCCCTCATGAGTTTGCTCATGCTTGGTGGTCTTGTATTTGACAGACCAAATGTGAACAATATTGGCCAGAACAAGAGCATGTCTATGGGGACTTCACCGTGACACTCAACAACACCAGGACCACCACGGGCCTTGTCACGCGCATCTTCTGCCTGCGTAAGGTAAACCTGGATTGTAGCTGAGAAGGGGATGAAGGATGCTTTTGGGTTTCAGCAGCTGGTGGGAGCTATTGTCCAAGAAACCATGTGAGGAACCCTGTCTGGTCTCCAGCAGTAGCAGTTCAGCATTGCTGTCACTGGATGCCATGCCAGGGCATCGTGCCCAGGTTTCTGTGCCAGGCAAAGGCAATTGGTCAGCTCCAGGGGTCACCCCAGCTGAGTCTGGACTGATGATGCACATGGGCAGATCGTGCACCCTTGAGGGCTTCAATAAGGTGCTCACAAAGGGTATAAAAGCAGTTAAAGAGTATAAAATGGCATGTCCGTACATCCAGGATGATGGGGACAGGTGCCTGCCTGTCACCTGGGCCAATCTGAAAAAGGTCTACATTGAAGCTCCACGGCCACTTACAGTTCCTAAACCTGAACAGATGGTTTAAGATAACTTACACAATGACATTTCTCAAGATGAGTACTTCTTCTGGTTGTACCTCAGACAATGAGCAGGAATTGAAGGAGCTGCACGGAGGGGGAAACAGATACAATATAAAGAAAATATAGTTATGCATGTTCTTGTCTTTTCTTGTTGTGCCCAGAGCAAAATCTAGCTGAAAGGTCAAGCTCTGAGAGCACCTGATGGAGGGACATAACAGTTCATTAGTACAGGACAAGTGAATGGGATTTTTCGGACAAATACATGATGGTAACAAAAGTGATTACACTCACTTCAGTGCAGTATCAGCCTTGGGAAATATCTTATTTGGGGAACCAGGGCTTTTCGATGACTATAGACACACTCTATGCTGTAATTTATTTTTTTTTTCTCTGGGGTATAAGCGGCTTTTCCTGTCAGTAATTTGTGAATTCAGCGTTCACAGCATGGGTAAGCAGAGGACAAAGTGAATCGTGTGGCAGTGAGCTGGGTGAATTTGCCCTTTGCTGTCTGATGAGCTACAGTGGAGCAGTTATGATGGCTGGTTTTATCTGCTGCTCCCTACTTGTTGGCATGCAATTACAATTACTTCACGCATCTTTCTAGCTTGGTTCCTGCTCTCAGCCATGTCCATCTCTTTGTAGGCAGGCTGTGCTCTCCCAAGAGTGGTGGAGCAGTTTCACTACCTGCTGTGGCCAGACCACGGGGTGCCCAGAAACCCTGCCCAGCTCCTGTGGTTAGTGGAGGTGGTGAACAAGAGGGGGTTGGAAGCACCCGCTGGACCTGTGCTGGTGCACTGCAGGTACTGGGCTGGGAGAGTTTGGGTGATGGGGCAAGGGTGTCCAGGGCACCACTGACCCCCCAATTTTCTGTGTCCTCAGCGCAGGGATCGGGCGGACAGGTACCTTCATCGCCCTGGACTTCCTCCTAAAGATGGGGAAGGCTGAGGGGAAGGTGGATGTGTTTCACTGCGTCCAGAGGCTACGGGAGCAGCGGGTCAGCATGGTGCAGACCAAGGTGAGGAGAGTTACCTGCTCCCAGCATGCTGTTGGGCTGCAGATCTGCTTCCCACCCTTACCAGGGATGTGGTGTGCAAAGCCACACTGGCTACGCTCATGGTCTAGCCACAGGGAGAGGAGCTGCTGGGTGGTGGAGACTGTAGGATCTTATTTCCAATGCTGAGTCCAAACCCAGACCCTCTGAGGTGCCAGCAGCATTCATACACGCCAATCATCCTTGTATAGAACGGATGTCTTGTAGGCAAGGTTGTCTTTGACAGGCTGAGAGAGTTGGGGTCATTCAGCTGGAGAAAAGAAGGCTCCAGGGAGACCTTTTAGCAGCCTTCCAGTACCTTAAGGGGGCCTATGGGAGAGATGGCGAGGGACTCTTGATGAGGGAACGTAGCAATAGGAAGGTAATGGTTTTAAACTGAAAGAGGGGAGATGTAGACTAGATATTAGGAAGAAATTCTTTACTCTGAGGGTGGTGAGGCACTGGAACAGGTTGCCCATAGAAGCTGTCGATGTCACATCCCTGGAGGGGTTCAAGGCCAGGCTGGATGGGGCTTTGAGCAACCTGGTCTAGTGAGAGGTGTCCTTGTCCACGGCAGGGGGGTTTGGAACTTGATGATCTTTAAGGTCCCTTCCAACCCGAACCATTCTATGATTCTGTCATAGGAGCATGAATGAGAATCCACATGTCCTTCATGTCCTCTCAGGACGTGTGCCCTCAGGGAATCTGCTGAGCAGCAGTGTCCTTGCCAAGGGACTATATCCTCATGGTGTGCTCAGCACTGGGACCCTGTAGAGGAAACTAGGTTGGGCAGGACCATCCAGCTTCTTGTAGGAGGACCAACTAGTTCACTCATTTTCTGGGTTTCCTTCCCCAGAGCAGGAGTCTGGTCTGAGAGGGAACATTAAACCACAGGAAGATGGTCTTGTCTGGGTTGTTGCAGTTGCTGGCTGTTTCTCAGAGCAGAGCTGCCTGCACTGAGAGTTGTTTGGCCTCAGGGTCCCACAGCAGGAAGGCGAAGGATGAACCTGGCTCATTCCTGGCACAGGTTGATGCCAATGAGCTCATGGCCTGGAGTCCCAGGGGTCCTCACGGAGCTGCTCCATGCTGTGCAGCTGACCCATGTCCTCACACAGGAGCAGTACATCTTCTTGTATGAGGTGCTGCTGGAAGGCTTGCTCTGCGGCAACACTGGGATCCCAGTGGAGAACATTGCCAGCCATGTCCGCTGTCTTCGAGAAGCTGAGACCTCAAGGCACAACAATATCCTGGAGAAGGAGTTCAAGGTACTACCAGTCTGGTTCTGGGTTGTGCTGGGTCTGATGTTGTGGGGGGCTGGTCTGTGGTGCCTCTCCACTACTGGTCCCCTCTTCCCAGCTGTGGGATGGAGATGGGGGAGCATTTCTCTGGGGTGGCTGAAGAAGGGGAGGAGCTGACAGGCAGGACTTCCTTGGCTGAATCATCCCTACAGAACCTGCAGAAGTTTTCTGAGTTGTTCCAGCTCTTGCCATGCAGAGAGGCGGAGAAGCCCAGCAACCAGCCCAAGAACCGCAAGCCAGGGATTCTGCCAGGTACCAGGGGCAGGGCTGGGCAGCCCCTTGCTCTGCGATCCACCGCCTGGAAGCAGTGCATGGGGATGATGATGCTCTGCTCCTCCCCTCCCCAGCACTAAGCCACTGGCAGGTTCTGCCCAGGGTCCAACTGTCATTTTCTGGTTGGCAAAAAATACAGATTAGGCTGGTCCCTCCATGGAAGCAAGACCCCCATCCTTGCTTCCTTCTGGGCTTCCTGCAGGCATGTGTTCACAGAGCACACCTGGGATAAACACGTCTCCGTGTCTAATCTCTCCTAGTGGAGGATCCCATATGGGGATATTGCTCCCCATGGGGAGCAATAAGGAGGGTGGTGGGGTTTTGGACACCCTGTGTCAGGCAGCCCTGAGCCGCATGGCCATGGAGCTGGTGGTGCCTGTTCATTAGAGCCTCCCCAGCCCTTGCAGCGGGGAACCACGCTGACCCCAACCCAGCTTGCAGGGAAAGCCCCGTGCTTCTGTGCGGGGAGAGGATGGCTCATCACTTCTCTCTCTGCACCTTGCAGCCGATTCCTACCGCCCCATCCTGATGTCCTCACTGAATGCAGAGGGCTCGCCAGGCTACATCAACGCCGTGTTTGCCAACGTAAGAGCCCCGGTGTGGGGTGGGGAGCTGCTGGGAGCAGCAGAGACACCCCTGGGGCATCACTGCACCCTGGTTTGAGGTGCCCCAGCCCTGGGGCTTCTTTGCTTTGACAACTTCCTGGCTGTTGGGTCCCTGCTGCCAGGAGGTGGCCCCCGTGATCAGCCTAAGCCCTGCCTGCACAGCAGGGCTGCTGGCTTCTGCCTGCTGGGAGCAGAGACCGGGTGTGATGAGCTCAGGGGGAGCAGCAGGGTGCAAGCAGGGCTGGGGGTGTCCCCTCGGGCCTGCAGAGCCCTGGCCGCGGGGAGGCAGGGGGCCATTCCCGCTGGCGGAGGGGCTCTCCTGGGGGTGGATTGTGTCACCTCGTCCCGGTCGGTGTGTTTTGCAGACTTACACTGAGGATGACAGGTTCGTCATCACCCAGCTGCCTTTCCTCAGCACACTGGTGGACTTCTGGGCTCTGGTCTGGGATTACACCTGCACGTCGGTGGTTGTGCTGAACCGGCTGGAGGAGCTGGACAAGGTCAGCAGCCCACAGGCAACTCTCCCCTCTCCTGGCTCCCTGCATGGTTCTTTCTGCCTTTGCCCACACACAGCTCTTCTCCCGAGAGCCCAGCTTGCCACGGGAGCCCGCTGCAAGCTTGTGGGCTCCACGTGGGACACAACTGAGGACAGGTGGCCCAGGTGGCCAAGAAAGCCAACAGCATCCTGGCCTGTATCAGGAACAGCGTGGCGAGTAGGGCCCGAGAGGGGATTGTCCCCCTGTACTCGGCACTGGTGAGGCCTCACCTTGAGTACTGTGTCCAGTTTTGGGCCCCCTACCACAAAAAAGGCATTGAGGTGCTGGAGCGGGTCCAGAGAAGGGCGACAAAGATGGGGAGGGGTCTGGAGAATAAGTCTTATGAGGAGAGGCTGAGGGAGCTGGGGCTATTCAGCCTGGAGAAGAGGAGGCTGAGGGGAGACCTTATTGCTCTCTACAACTGCCTGAAAGGAGGGTGTAGAGAGATGGGGATCGGTCTCTTTTCTCAAGTCACAGGCGACAGGACAAGAGGAAATGGCCTCAAGTTGCACCAGGGTAGGTTCAGGCTGGATATTAGGAAAAAATTTTTCACTGAAAGGGTTATCAGACATTGGAATGGGCTGTCCAGGGAGGTGGTTGAGGCACCATCCCTGGAGGTGTTCAAAAGACGGGTAGATGTAGTGCTGGGAGGTATGGGTTAGTGATGATGCTCCTTGTTTGTTGTGTGGGTGTCTATTTTTGTCAGTTAGGTTGACGGTTGGACAAGATGATCTTTAAGGTCCCTTCCAACCTAGAAGATTCTGTGATTCTTTGATTCTGTGACAGTCCCAGCACCATGGCACTACAGCGGTGGGGTGTCCCCACTCTCACAGCAAGGGAGCAACCCTCAGGTTTTGCTTACCCCTTCCCAGGTGTCCTCTTTTGCGGGAGTGTTATTTCTCTGGTTGCAGCACTGTGAGTTGGTGCCCAGCAAATGGCAGACAGAGTACCCACATGAGCGCTGTGGCTTATGGGCTGGTGCCATCACACCCAAGCGAGGTGCTGAGCTCTGCCACACGCAGGTGGGGAACGTGTGTGATCACGCTTGTCTCCCCTTCAGACATACGTGGAGTTCTGGCCCACCCAGGGTGAAGCTGCCTATGGCCGTTTCCATGTCCATTTGATCTCAGAGGAGCCCGGAGATGACTTCACAGCCTGGACACTTGCCCTCATCAACATGCAGCAGGTGGGCTCTTTGCACAGTGAGGGAGAAGTCCTTTAAGATCAGCCTTTGCAAAACTGGGAGGATCCACTGGGCTCCAGTATGAGCAGGCTTTGATCTGGGGTCAAAGTCACAGCTAGGGATGGCAGAGGACACAACTGTCAGAGGGATCTGATGAGGTCCTGGAAGGGCACTGGCCAGAGCAGGGCCTTTTGCCATGGGAGAGAGGTTAGTCACAAGAGGGTGAAGCTGGAGACAGAGACACAATGTAGAGATACATTTCTAAGGTGGAGGACAACAGATGTGGATAGAGTTCGTGCATCTCAGTGGTGGTTCGTGGAGGATAGCTATCACAGGGAGCTGGGTACTGGGCTGGCATAAATCTGAGCTGCACCTGGTGCTCAGCTCTTGTTTTGTGCTCCACCAATCTCAGAGCATTCAGTGGAGAAGAGCAAAGTCTGGCAGTGGGCCATCCCACCATGAAGCTGCTCCCTTGATCCAGTGTGCATGACTGAGCCAGGACTGACATACGCTGTCCCTCCCTTCCCTCCATGTAGCCAATGGCTTTCTTCTCTGTCCAGCCCACTCTCTTTCTTCTCCACTAGCCCAAGAAGTCTGCACTGGAAGTCCGGTTCTGGCAACTGAAAAACTGGCCCATTCAGCAACGTCTTCCCCCGCACCCTGCCACCATCATCAGCCTGCTAGGGAAGGTGGAGACACACCATCGCCAAAGCCAAAATGGACATATCCTCGTCACGTGCTGGTGAGTGATGTCTGTCAGAGGAGCAGCCGTGGGACAGAGCTCATTCAGCTCAGGCTGCATCAGTGAACTAGGGTCACAGCTCCATCTTGGGTGGACTTACGGACATGAATTCAGCTATGTTCAGGGAGGAAGGCTTCCCTGGGGAGGCTGGCTGCATGCAGGGTCTATGGACAAGACCATCCTGAGAGCCTGCACGACCAGTGGGACACCTCTGAGGCTCAGCACTGCCAAGTGATCCTAAGATAGCCCACTTTCCCCTTGTTCTCTTCCACAGCGATGGCGCCAGCCGGAGCGGAATCTTCTGTGCTGCAAGTTTCCTTTGTGAGCAGATCCAAAGTGAGGGGCTGGTGGATGTAGCCCAGGCTGTGAGGACGCTGAAGAGGCGGCGGAGACAGCTGATTAAAGATGTGGTAGGTGCCGACTTCAAACTCAGCCAGGATGGCAACACCAGAGCAAAAACCACAGCCTGGACTGTCCCAGCAGCTGCCCTTGGGCCAGAAGGGGCAGATGAGACCTCTGAAAACCCTATGAACATGCCCGTTCACTCAGGAGTACATGATGCAGAAGCATCCTGTGGGCTGAGTTGCCCCTATCTGGTCCACCTGGCCTGCCCAGTGCGTCTGCGGGGTGCACTGGTGAATGCTCAGGTGCTTGTCCTACACCCACCTCACCACCCAGTCTGGATGCTAGAGGCCATCATAGGGTGAGCACCCTGGATGGGAGTGAGTTGCAGCCACATCCTGCCATGGATGCTGGCTCTCCTCCCAAGACCAGATGGCTCCAGGTTTGGGCTCCAGCTCTTAGCTACTGAAGCACATGCCTGTAATTCCTCAGTAGTGGAAAGTGGGCTCCAACCAGGAGGAGGAAAGTGGGCAGTACCTGCACCTGGCTTGCTCAGGAAACTGTTGTCAACCAAGGCTGGCCTTCCACTGCAGGTGTTGGTGTAACCAGGTTCTCACATACACCTTTCTGTCCACAGGAGCAGTATGGGCTCTGCTATGAACTAGCCCTCAGTTACTTGAATTCATTTGAAACCTACGGGAATTTCAAGTAGAGGCATGGCCACAGCCCATCTCTGTCCAGGACTTTGACTCTCTTGACAGCCCTCCATCAGGCACAGTGGAAACCAAAACAGTCAAGAGGGGTGTGCACAGCTCCAAGATGCTTAACTCCCATGAAAAGCCAGCCCAAGTGTTCTCTGCGGCTGGAGTGCACAGGCTGGACCATCTCCAAATTGTGGTCAGGCTTTGAAGAGGGGATATGACCTTTTGCCCAGAGTTTGCACAGGAATTTACCTGGAATTACAGCCTGAGTATACAGATCAGAACAGAGGCACCAGGACTTGATTGTGCTGGGGATAAAGAGAACCAGATGTCCCATCCAGACTCCCTTGTACCTTCAGGCAGCCTCAGGGAAAGTGGGGTAGCTCCACCAATACCCAAACTGTGTTTTGCCAGGGGAGCATCACTGTAAGATCTGCGAGGCTCAGAAGCACAGGCTATCTGTCCTACTTTGGGAGAAGCATGGAGCCCAAGGCCAACAAAAGCCAAAAGAGGGACAATCCACAGTCCCATAGTGCTATCCTGGTCCTTCCCACCCCACACAATCCCTTCTTGGAGTTCCATGTACCTGATGCTGATGCAGGTGCCACAGCCCTGCCAGCCCCAGAGAGGCTCCCTCACCAGCCTGTCTGACTCCACCATGGAAGTCCATGCTTGTAGCAGCTCACCTCAGATGTGTTGTTCCAGAAGGCTGCTGCACCATGGAGACTAGTTCTGTCTTTGCTGCTTAAGGGCAAGGGGTATCAGAGCCAGGACTGGCCCCATGGCTCTGTTCTGTGTTTCATCAATAAAGACTCTGTGCTGTGGCCATGGTGGTGTTGTCCTCTTCTGTTTTCTTCCAGGTTTGACCTCACACAGGGACTGAAAAGGAGCTGAGAACTCACAGGTCCCTCACCTCTGGTCATACCATGGGCGTAGAACACACTCCTGCCCAAGAAGTGTGTTGAGGGACATTTTCCTTCACTCATTCCCACCAGGCACCCTACCGAAACTCACATGAGAACTGCCCAGCACAGCCCTGGGGGTCGTAAAGGTGGTCCCCAGCACCACCTGGGGACACAGAGTAAGAGCAGCCCTGCTCATGGCCTCCCCTCAACAAGGTGCAGTTAGCTCCCTGCAGGATGATGTGACCCCACAAGGGCACTGAGAGGACCAGGAAGGAGCTGTAGAGGGACAGGCAGCCACCTGCTCCAAACCACAAGCCTTTATTGGTTGTCCAGCCAGAACAGGCAGAGTCACAAAGTCAGCCCAGCCAGGCCAAGCTCCAGCAGAGCCCAGAGTTTGGCTGAATATCAGCAGACAAACCAGGGAGAAGGGATGGGAACCCAGGACATGGAAGGAGCACGAACCTTCCCTCAGTCTGAGCCCATGTTTGACAGGCACCGGGAAACCTGCTGTACAGTTTCTGCTTCCAGGAAAGTAAAAATTAAAGCAAAGCCAAAAAAATAAATCCCCAAATAACTACACAAAGTCACACTCAAAAGCCTTAAGCAAGCAGTAAGTGAAAGCTGGGAGGTGATGGCGGTGACGAAATAAAAAGCTCTGTGCTGATTTGTGTGGGACCCCAGAGCTGCTGACAGTCACAAGAGAACCATCAGCAGTGATCTGGGGTCATCCTCCCCATCTTCTCTGCTCCCTCTGAATGTCTTCTGTGGTCATGGACAAGGGTTGGAGTTATTGATCTCCAGCCTGGCCACCTTTACCTGTGGAGAGTAAAGGTACCCAGTGCAGAGGCTGCTGCCTGCCCTGGGCAGTGTGGGCAGCTCACGCCAGCACCACTGCCTGTACACATGAGTGTCTGAGACAGGCTGGAGCACAGGGCAGTGCCTGGCACAGCTTGACCCCTTCAACCACAGGTCCCTGGAGGGGCCTGCTGGTGCCCAGGTGAATGCATCAGTCTGTCAGCCTAACCCTTCTGAGATCCCTCCCAGCAGATCTCTTCCTTGGGGAGGATGACAGGGCTGTGGGTCCCTCAGAGGGCTGAACCATGAGACACCCTTTGGGATGCCCATTTCTGCTCACCCCTGCCCCTGCTCTAGGCTAGGAGCACTGCTTGGAGCCACGTGCTGCCATATGGGGCTTAGTGGGAAGAGCCATCCTGACCATCCCCAACACCACAGGGCTGAGGCAAATGGAGAGATGTGTCAGTGAAGAGGATGAGCAGATGTTTCTCCTGAGGGTCACGCTCTCCTGGGAGATCTCTGCTCTCCTCCCAGTGCCAGCCAGCCCTACAGCCCCTTCTGTAATAGTGGTCCAGGGAATTGCATTTTCCTACCTCTTTAATTATCCTCCTTAGCTTTAGTGGGAAAAGACTTCCTTTTCCTGGAAAGGCAAAGGGAATTCCTTAGTAAGAGACTGGTGTGGACCATGGCCCTGCTGAACCTGTCTCCTCACTACTCACCTGGAAAGCACGAACCACAGGATCCCAGCAAACAGGAGGAGGAGTACCAAAAGCACAACAACGCCGATCACAGTCCCATGCCACGGGGCTGGATGCTGCCCTGCATCTAACACAACCAGGAGTGAGTGCCACCGCCTGGGCCACATGCTGGCAACAGCACCAACGATGGCAAAGGGTATGTGCAAGTGTGTAGATGTGTGTCTTGGTGTAGGTTTCTTCTGGGTTGGAGGATTGCCCCATGTGTGAGAAACAAAAGGTTTCCTCTGCCCCTGGAGACCCGACAGCTCCTGCGCTTGGCCAGCTTCTCTCCATGGGAACTGGCCAGGCTGGGAAAAGGGAACGTCTAGGGGAAAACCTTGGGCTGAGGGAGCGAGGAGCCCACTTACCAACAGAAAAGCTGTAGCAGACACAGGTGACCTTCTCTGCCTGTTAGAGGAGATGGGAGAGAGAGCTCAGGCTACTCCTGCCCTGCTGCCCAACCTGTGGGCAAAGGCCTCCCTGCCATGGCCACCAAATGCCCCAGCTGAGGCCGAGGACACAGAGACACTGCCCCACCAAGGCACTCAGGCTCTCACCACAGAGGCTGGGAGCCCATGTAGCATTGCCACTCGCCATTGGCAGCTGGCCCAGACACCAGCGGGGGTGGCCTTGGTTGGCAGTGTCTCTGGGCAGCAGGAGCCCCCCATGACGGGTACCTGTTGTGACCGGTGGACATGGCGGAGAATGGCCATGTAGTGCCATCCCGGCCGGAGGGCAGCGTTGTGGTAGCCTTGCCCGTGGGTCCCATTGCCCAGCACAAAGTCCATGGGGCCGGTGAGGTTGAGCACGGCGGCCACGTAGGTGCCAGGCTCCTGGCTGGCGTTGAAGGGCTGTGGTTCCCCCAGGCAGATGCCTTCCAGCGCTGTGTCGTCGTGGCCCACAGCCACGATGAGCTGGTGCTCCCTGCAAGGCAGGACAATGAGAGGGGGAGACGGGGATGGGAAGAGCAGGAGAGAGGGGGCTGCGGGCAAGAGCTGCTGGTGGGGAAACCTTTCCTGGGGCTGTGGAGAGCAGAGCTGCCGGGAGCTGCACTCACCTGGCTGCTGTGGGGGGACGGGCGATGGGGCGTAGGGGGAGCACGGCCGTCCCGTGGGCTGGGGAGATGTCGTGGACGCCGCGGCAGCTGATGTCGAGAGGGTGCGGGGTGTCTGGAGGGGAAGATGCAGAGAGATTGCGGAGGGGAGGAGGGGTGAGCAGCAAGCGGGCAGCCCGGCGGGGGCTGTGCCGGGAGCAGGGGCAGCCCCGGGCAGTGCGGGCTGCAGAGCACAGCTCCTCTGTGCCCACCCAGGCTCGTCCTCGCCGGCCAGGAGGCCATGGGGCTGGGGACAAGGGGCTGCTTCATCCAGGGCACACGCCATGGCCACCTCCAAGGGGTGGGACACAGCCAGCCTTACTTGAGCTCTTGGTCTGAGACTCCCAGAGCGACGCAGCCCCGGCTCCGGCGGCCGTGAGTCCCTGAATCGTCACCACGTAGCTGCTGTCGGGGCTGTGCTGAGGCAGCCGGTGCTCAGTGATGGAGCTGCTCAGCTGCAGCTTCTCCATCTCCAGGAAGCTGCCATCCTGTGCGCTCCTCGTTGTGATGTTCAGCTGGGGAGAGGAGACAGAGCTGGAGGACAGCAGCTCCTCCCTGTCCTCTGGGAACTGCCCACAGCACCCCGAGACAGAGCAAAGCCCCCCTTCCCTCTGACTGCCCCAGGTGTGGAAGGTTCCCAGAGAGAAACAAGCTGGAGCCTTGCACCCATGCATGGACTCCAAAACAAAGAAGTCAGGGCCTTTATGGAAATCACATCTTGGTAATATGCAAAAAAGAAGAGCTAACTGCAAACCAGAAAAAGTGTTCTTTTCACAAACAGACATATCTGGGAACAGGAAAGCAGCTCAAACAGATCCACAAGCAACACCATCAGGGCCACTGTTTGCTGTTTTCTCTAGGAAAGAGCTAAAAAGGGCATGAAAGCCCAGCATGTCTGGGTCCCTGTCACCCCACGTAGAGGCCTGTCTTCAGAGAGGACACTAGCACACTTCCTCAGTGCTAAAAAGCACGGATGCACTGCGGGAAGAGCCCCAAACCCACAGACAGAGGAGGCACTTCTAGCCACACACTGAGAAAAACATAAAAGGAATGGTCCAACTCTTCACGAAGAAGAGGGGTTTTCAGGGGAGAACTCAAACCACAGGGTTGCCTGTGGCAGGAACCAGAAACAAGCATGCAAGTGACACAGGAAGCCCTGGGAGGCCACCCCAACAGACACGTCACCCAGTGCTGCACACCGAAAAACCACGAAGTCTGCCAAACCCCAGCCTGAGGGGAGCCGGGGCGGAAGCCCAGAGGGGAGGAAGCCCTCACCACCTCCCTGGCCAACTCCGTAGCACAAAGAATGTTGATGGTAAGAGAGAAAACACTTGTGCTCATCACAGCCAGATATTCGCCTGGACTGGCTGGGAACTGCAGGTCATCACAGCTCTCCCTTCCCCATTCTCCTCACCTGCCTGCAGAGAGCTCCAGGCAGGGAGGAGCCTGGCAAGGTGAAGAGGACCATGGGGTGTCCGTGGTCCCCCTGGTACCTGGTATCCAATGATCTCTCCTTTGCAGGAGGGCAGCGGCTCCCATGTGAGAGATCCCGTGTTGGGATCCAGCCACAGCTTCTCCGGTTTGTCTGGCACTGGAAGCACAGGAGGACAGGGTCACACATGGGGACAGTGAGGAGGGTCTGAGCCCAGAGCAGGGTGCTGGCAGCTCCTGGCCCAGGGGACAGGATGCCAAGGGATCCCTCAAGCAGGGTTTGTTCCAGACAAAGGCTGCATGTGCCACAGCAGCAGCATCACCGGTGTGGTGAGGAGGGGGGAAGCAAAGAGGGGACAGGGTGTGCTCCAGGGCCCTGCACAGCCCCTTCCCCAGAGACCAGGATCCGAGTAGCCCCAGCTTCAGGACCATCACTACAGGGAGTAGGTAACCAGCCTTTACTGCTGGGCAAAAAGGGGCATCTATCCACCTCCCCTACCTGTGGCATAGCCCAGGACTGTCCCTTCTCTCCTGTACTCATCTGCACGTACCTGTTTCCTTTGTGTTGACCACCCATGAGAAAAGAATCGTGCTGGGGGGCAGGAAGATGGTGATATTGTAGAAAGTGTAGGGCTGCAGAGGGGGACAGGTGAATGTTCCCTCCTGGCCTTGCAGCATCTCCTCTCCCTGCGCCTCCTCAGCCTCACAGGGAGGGGAGGAAGGCAAGACCAGACGGCACGTGGCCCGCATGTGCTGGCAGGCATCAGGGAGCCTGCAGGTCCAGTTCAGTGCGATGCTGGTGCTGGAAATCTCCAAGCTCTCAGAGACAACCTGGAGGATTTCTGTAAAGGAAACATTGCAAGAGAGTTACTTCCTTCCCTTCCCCTGCCAGCCTTGCACGGGCGCTGCGGTCACACAGCCCTGCTCCCCACCCAGCTGAGTGGGAGGGAAAGCGAGAGGATGGAGCTGGTGACTCCAGCTCCCTGGCAGGGGAACATGAAGAGGCTGGACAGGGATGAATGTGGGTGAAATGTCTAGACTGCTACTGCTCAAGGCAATTTTTCCCACTGAGTCAAAACTAAAGTATCTCTGGGCCCCAGCATCTCTACGATCCAACAGATGCAGCTCTTAGAAAGACCCAACCCTTTCCTGCTCTGTATAGATCCCAGAAGAAAGGTTCATTTTCCTTGGCTGTATAGCTGCTATGGAGCTCTAGGACACTATATGGAGTAGCCCCGGGAAGGTGTTGAGGGAAAACTACCCCTTGCTGCTTCCCTCTGGCCTCCCACGAAAAGCCAGAAGGAGCAGGAGCTCAAGGAACTGGGGGACCCATGAGGGGCTCATACGATGCACAAAGCTTGTACAGTGACTGATGGACCAGCATTTGACCCTGGCGCCTTGTGGCACAATCTAAGAAGCCAGGGATATTTCATGCCTTATGGACCTGCCAATGAAGTTAACAAAGCACCCAAGGGGACCAGATGGGGCACCCTGAAAGCTTGGGTCATGCATGGCACAGACAGCCTTCCCCTGCTCAAGAATGGCAGAGCTGGGCAGCCAGGAGACCTCCTGATGCCTCCCTTACCGGCGCACTCCACTCGGGACTGAATGCGCGTCCAGTCACCTCTGGTGTTTCTTCCACGCCAAACTTCCCTGTTTACAAGTTTCCCATCATGGGTGGACTGGACTTCGCTTGAACATTTGACGTGGGTGATGGTTGGCTGAAAACCATCTGTGCAATTCAGCATCACTTCTTCATTCTTCTTGTAATTTTCCTGATCTGGTGTCAGCTGCAATCTTGGGTCCCACCGGGGCCTTTGGCACATTCCTGGCACAGGTGAAAGTGGGTGTTAGTTGGTGTGGGAGGTGATGAGGTAGGACATGGAGGGGTGGTGGGAGGGAAATCTCTAGCAATCCATCCAGCCCCTGAAGGGGGAGAGAAGGTGGCATGTCCATCTGCCAGGATGTGACCTGCAGGCAAGTCTTGTTGGGAGAGAGCTTTTCTTCATGTGCCCGAAGTGTGAAGAATCACTCATCCATGAACCTTCCCCATCCACCCTCTTGTCTAGGGCCACTATCTTTTCTCCTCCACAGCCCACAGCAGGAACCTTCCCAGGACAATAACCCCTGCACTAGAAGACTCTCTCCAGCCTCTCCTTCAGAAATGTCACCCACTGCAGCTCAGGCTGCCCTTGATGGGCTGTGGCAGCACCAGCCCTGCTGGGATGCATGTGTCTCCAGCTATGGCTCAACTCATCCCTCCCACAGGCATCAGAGGTGCCCCTGTTACACTTCTGGAGTCCCTGTGTGGGCTCTGTCGGTTCCTCTGCTACTTGCCTCCTGGCCCATGCCACCATACAGTGGGACATGGGGATGAGCCATGCCTTCTCCATTCACATCCTCTGCACATCCATGCCCCTTTCCCCTGCCACAAGCCCTGCTCCCTCCTCCAAATCCCCTCCTCACCACATTGACCATCTCTAGGGCTGAGCAGGCACACCCTGTCCCATCAATTTGCTGAGTGCTGTGATGGGAGGCTTTGTGGCAATGATTCCTACAGTTAAGGGTGCTGGCACCTGGGAAGGAGCACTTCTCTGTTCCAGCCTCTGCAAGGGGCTCTTGGAGTCCTCAAAGTGCTCAAAACACAATCTTCCTTCTCCTGAAGGGACAGAGATGGGATCTCACAAGGTTCAGACCATCTTCTGAACAGCCACAAAGTAGAGACATGCTGCTGAACAAGCCACTGATGTGCAGGGTTTGCTCTCAGACAGCCCTGATAGCAGAAGGCAAGAGATGCCCAGCTGAGTGCCACGGCCAGCAGTTATGTCCCACTGACACACAGCCACCACCTACCCCATGCCCAGGCACCCAGCTGCTGCCCACGCCCAGGACCATGCAGCTGTCAAAGCAAATTCCCTTTTGCTATGCTCTCAGCAAGCACAGTGTCCCCTGGGCACATGTGGGCACAGGGTGGGTACAGAAAGTGGCAGCCCTGCTTGCTGAAGACCCTTCCCCTGATTGATGATGCATGACTTCATGCCTGATCCAAGCCTGCAGCTTCCAGGGAACGATCAGCAAACCAGCTCTGTGCAGGACATGACACATTCCCGACCATCCAGCCCAATCCCACCCTTCCCACAGCACCCCCAGTGCACCCACACCATAGTTCCTGCCCCCAGGGTCTCCCAGAGACAGCAGGCATCCCAGCTGAACAGCCTGAGCGGTCCGCTGGGCTCCAGCCCGGGGCTGCAGGCAGTGAAGGTGCCTATCAAACTTGCAAGAGAAGGAGCAGCAAAATCTTGCCCTGAGGGGAAAGAAGGAACCCATTCTTACCTGTTTCCCTGGGTACTCCGTGGACCTTGGGATCAGGTTCTTCCTGGCCCCGTGCCGCCAGCAGAGATACAAGGACCAGGAGAAACCTCAGAGCCAGCAACTGTAGGGCCATGCTACCACGAAGTCTTCAGGCAGGACTGATATCTCAGCCCCCCTTGCTGCCCCTGAGCCCAAGCATCTGTTACTCACTTCGAGACTTGCAACCACAGGAAATTTCATGAATCACAGGAGACTTCCTCTCTGGGGAGGGAACCTCCCATCACTGTCAGTGCTGCTGTCTTTTGCTGCCTTTTTTCCCCAGGGGCATCCAGGCTCTGGTACTCAACAGAAGAACCCCTGTCACCAAGACCCCAGGGTTTCCCCCCAAAACCCTTCTAGTTCCCAGACCGCATTCAAGAAGCACTGCTCCTGTTCCTTTGCCTATTTTTGAGGCAATATCCACGTGTTTTGCAACGCCACTGTATGGGCTGTAGAGTCTTGATGAGTCACTGCACTTCCTCTCAATGATCACAGGAGATGGGTGACTTCTGAGGAAGCCCATGAAGAGCTGTCAAGAAGCTGTGATAGGAATGGGGATAGGCAAGGAGTACTTCAAGGCCTGAAACAGTCCTTGACCCTTCTGAAAGACACACTCAACCCACAGCCTCTCTCATCTTTCCCTGCTTCTCCATCCCCAGCTGCCTCCTCCTCCTCCTTCTAAGCCTGGCAACACACTCTTCTGTTCCCAAGGGTGCAGACCATTCTGCCCTCCAATGCTATCTGAGTGCCTGATGGAAACCCTCAGAGCTACTAAACCCTTTCTCCTCAGCAGCTCCTGATTTTCTCTTCCTCCAGAACCTCCTAGGGACCTTCCTGGGATGTCTGAGATCACAGAAAGCTGGATATCAGGCTCGGGGGCTACACAGGAGTAAAGACCATGCTTGTCCCTCAGCTTTGCCTTTGACACATGCACAGGGCACACTCCTGCCCAGGACGAATAGAAGGGAGCACCACTGTTCACTCCACTACACACCCCATCCAAACACATGCCAGAGCTGCTCAGCATATCACAGGAGCACAAACCAACCCTCCATTTCCCTGTATCCCAACTCTGTGCATTCCCCTTTCTCAAGCAGCAGCAGCAGCCACATGGGGTTAGGCTCCCTCATCCCCTGGCTGCCATACCCACTAAGAGCACTTCCATCAGGCATGCAGGTCACACCAATGAAAGTCCATAGGAAAGAGATGTCTGGTCCCAGGAGCCAGTTGCATATGATAATGATAATGGTCAGACAACTCATATAAAGGACTATCAAAGCATGTGTTTACTGGCACATGCAGGTTATCCCAAGGTGAAAAAAAAAAAGGCTGGAGAAAACAGTAGCCAATTGCTTCATCTTCTAACACTGTGTTCCTCACAAAGGAGAGCCTTTGGGCTGTCCCTCAGCAGCATCCAGGCTTCACCAGGCACCAGCATCCCAGAGAGCCAGAGAGGCAGTGGACAATGGAGGCTGCACCAGGGCAGCAGCAGCCAGCATCGAGCAGATCCCAAAGGACAAAGGATGGGGTTTTCCCAAGGCGGACAGGCACAAATGCACCTCACAACAGGGGAGAAGGGCACTGAGACCAACAGAGCAGGTCACGGACCAACACAGAGGTCCAGCTAGACGATGCTAGCAGTAGGATGGGGAGGAGGGAAAGTAGGAACTCAAACTATTGCACTGGGAGTACACGGCTTCTCAGATGTGCTTCCTCGAGACTTCCAGGAGCAGGAGAAACCTGGTCCAAGCTCCTCCACAGGGACAGAGCCTTTGCACACAAAATGGAGAGGAACCACAAGAAGGTGGGAGCTGTTGCAGGGCAGGCAGCTCCTGCAAACCAGAAGAATTTATTGGTTGTTGGGACACAGCAGCACAGCTGCAAGGGCAGCGCAGTTGGGCCAAACTCAAGCAGGGGCCAGGATCTAGAAGGATTTGGGGCTACAGAGTGGGGAAAGAGGGAGTGGGACCCAGCGAGCTGCTTTGGTCTCAGAGGACACCTGCAGGCATCGGGAGGAGGGTGATACAACTTTGCCAGAGCGCTGGAGGACTCTCAGAACATATCCTTGCTGGCACAAGCAGGTCACCTCTGGCTTTGGGCTGATCCCACTCGGTGACAGAAGATGCTGGAGCTTGATGAGGGAGAGAATTTGAGAGGGAGCAATAATCCAGCACAAGCTTTATGAGATCCTGCTTCCATCCCAGGAAAACCAAGCCTGGGGAAGGGGCCATCAGCACTGAGCTGGGGCCTTCAGCCTCATCTTCTCCTCTCCCTCACTACTCTGACTGTCTCTTGAGGACTCCAGGACCGGCGGGGTCTGAGGCAACATCTCTCCAGCCTGGCCACCTTTACCTGCAGAGACCAACAGCACCCAGGGCAGAGGCTGCTGCATGTTCTGGAGGGTGTGGGGGGCTCATGCCAGCATGGCTGCCTCTCCCTGCCAGGTGTGGGAATAGATAGGGCTCTCTGTGTCCTACCTGCTTCTTCCTCTGCCAGAAGAGTGCCCTTGACCACACAGTAGTTATCCACGTTCTCATAAGGCTGGAGCTCTGGGGGGGATGACAGAAACAGCCTGAGAGCCCAGGGGTGACTGGAGAAGGAGCAGGGCAGCAGCCCTGTGGATTGCATGACACCCTGGGACAGACACCAGAAGGGCAGTAGGGCCGGGCAGAGGTCTGTTTGTAAGGGACCGAACACAAGGGGCAGCTCCCAGCCCTCACTGGCACCATGGATGGACCCCAGCCAGAGCTGCTGGAAGAGGCAGCTGGAGGAGGTTCTCATCTGGGGAGAGTAGTGTGGGACACGCTGCTCTGGCAGGTCAGCCAGGGCCAGCCGGGCTGCCTACAGCCACCACAGGATGGCAAGAGGACATGCAGATGTTCTTCCTGATGGCCAGGCTCTCCAAGCACAGACCTGCTCCTCTCCCGGCTCCGTCCCCAGCCCTAGAGTTGTCTATGTGAGGCAACCCTACCTGTGTAGTGGTCCTCTTCAACTTTGCTGGGCAAGGCCTTCCTTCTCCTGGAAAGGCAAAGGGCAGTCCTGAGGGTTGTGAGAGAGGCTGAGGTGGCCCAGGGCTCTGCTGAACCCAGCAGCAGAGTCATGAAGAGCTCTGCACACCCTTCCTCTGGGCCTCTCACGAGCATCCCAGAGAAACAGCAGTGGTGGCAGTAACAGCAACAAGGGATGGGGACCCTGACCTAGCCATCAAAGAAGATGGCCATGAGCCACAGCCAGCAGCCCTACAACTAAGACACAATGCTGCAGCCATCTCTGACCTGGGCACCCAGAGAAAGGTGGGAGCAGTGAGAAGAACTCCCTCTCCATCCCCAGATACCCCAAAGCACAGCATGGCCTAAGGCAGACCAACAGCCCCAAGCTTCCTGTCTACTCACCTGGACAGCACAAACCACAGGATCCCTGCAGACAGGGCGACCAGAACCACCACTACCACCACCACTGTGACCACCGTCCCTGGCCATGGGCCCGGAGGCTGCCCTGCAACTAAGACATAGGCAGGAGTGGGTCCCAGTCTGTACCCTGTGCCAACCACAGCCCCAACCATGGCGTTGGGTGTGTGCACCACTACCTGAGACGTAGGTCTGAAATTCCAGGATTGATGCAGCCCCAGCACCAGCCGCCGTGAGGCCCTGCACTGCCACCATGTATTTACTTCCAGGTGCCTGACGAGGTGGCATGTACTGAGTGACAGACTGGTTCACCACCACCTGCTTGAACTCAAGGAAGCTGCCATCGTGTGCTCTCTCGGCCGTGATGTTTAGCTGGAAGAAGGACAGGCACCTGGTGGGGAGCAGCAGCCACCTCCCCTTCTGCACAAGGCAGCTCTGTGGAGAGGAGCTGCTACTGCTGGCAGGGGACAGGAGGGGACCTGACCCCACCAGAAACACCAGCAGTGTAGAGCTGGTGTGCCCTGGCCATGGAGGGCTCACACCTCTCCCCAGGCTGCCTGCACAGAGCTCCAGGAAGGGAGGAGCCTGGCAAGGTGAAGAGGACCATGGGGAGTCTGTGGTCCCCTGGTACCTGGTATCCGATGATCTTCCCTTTGCAGGGGGGCAATGGCTCCCATTTGAGACACCCCGTGTTGGGATCCAGCCACAGATTCTCCGGTTTGTCCGGCACTGGAAGCACAGGAGGACAGGGTCACACATGGGGACAGTGAGGAGGGTCTGAGCCCAGAGCAGGGTGCTGGCAGCTCCTGGCCCAGGGGACAAGCTGCAAAGGGACCCCTTAAGCAGGGTTTGTTCCCCACAAAGGCTGCATGTGCCACAGCACCAGCACTGGTGTGGTGAGGAGGAGGAGAGCAAAGAGGGGACAGGGTGTGCTCCAGGGCCCTGCACAGCCCCTTCCCCAGAGCCCCACAGGATCTGAGCGGTCCAAATCCCAGGAACGTCACTGATGCTTGGATGAAGGGCACCTTTACATTTCATATAAGAGGACATGTACCTGTTTCCTTTGTTGTGAGAAGCTTCGTGTACAGGACCGTGTTAGGGGGCAAGGAGATGGTGACACTGTAGACAGTGAAGGGCTGCAGAGGGGGACAGGTGAATGTTCCCTCCTGGCCTTGCAGCATCTCCTCTCCCTGCACCTCCTCAGCCTCACAGGGAGGGGAGGCAGGCAAGGCCAGACGGCATGTGGCCCGCATATATTGGCAGGCATCAGGGAGCCTGCAGGTCCAGTTCAGTGTGATGCTGGTGCTGGAAATCTCCAAGGTCCCAGGGACAATCTGGAAGTCCCCTGTGAAAGAAACATTGCAAGAGGGTCACTCACTTCCCTTACCCTCCCAGCTTTGCAATCAACCTCCATCATCCCCACCGTTCCCTCAGCAGCCTGTCCACACAAGGCCTTCTTAACTTCTCCCAGGCACATCTTGGGCACTGTCTGCACCTTCCTCTGGCCCTGGACTGTTCCCAGGGTACTCTGGGTGATGCAGGGACTCTGGCAGGATAATGGCAAGTACTTGAGACTCCTTGTGCTCTTCTCCAGGGAGACCCATCTGGCTGGTCTGGGCACGTTGACTGGGACCCTATGTGCAGCAGTGAGGACTTGTCCCCTCGGTGCTGTGCTGGCTGCCCCAGCTGCCAACAGCATGGATACAAACACGGGATGCATCAGCAGCAGTTTTCTATGGGATGAATGTCCACGCCATGCCCTGACCACCCCTCTCACAGGGCACCAATGCTGTGAGACACATGTGGCACTGCTATCTCTGCCTGGGGAGAACAGGCTGTAAGCACCAAGAGAGTGGATGGTCCTCTCACTCACCCTCACAGGTCAAGTTCCCCTCCACAGGGTTCCAGCGGCCTGTGTCTTCTTTCACAATCCAGCCGCTGCGAGGAATCATGGAGTCTTGACCTGGGTACAGCTTCACGCAGACCATCTCTGTAGCAGGAGACCAGTACCCTTCAGTGCATCTCATCTTCACCACTTCCATTGGGTTGTAGGTCCCCTCATCTGGGTCAAAGATAAACCTAGGGTCCCACTGGGGCTTCTGGCATTTCCCTGTACAGACAAGATGGGAAGGTGTTAGCAGGGCAGAGGGTGCCCCCATAGGGCATACAGGGGATGGAGCAGGCACAGCACAGTGAGGGATGGAGCTCCAGGACACCACACAGAGCAGCCCTTCCACACGCACCAAGGGGATGAGGACAAGAGCCCTGCGCTGCTTCCCCACATCTCCCAGGAAAGACCAGGAGCAGCCAGAGCTCCAGGCACTCATGGCTCCATGCAGTGCTCAAAGCTTGCACTGGGATGAAGGGCTTAATTTTTGGCCTGGGGCCTGATAGGCTCATTGGTCTTGCCTGGCAACGTGTGACAACATGAGCTGGCACAGGCTACAAGGGCACAAGGAAGCTTGGGTCACACATGGGGCTGCCTCCTTGGGCCCAGCTCCAGGATCCAGAGGAGAAGCATCCCCTTCCCCTCCCACCCATGTCCCCACACTCCCTGTGCTCACAGCTGCCAGCAGGCAACCAGCCCCAAGCCCTCTCGCTGTGGCCCAGCCTGAAGGCTCACGGGGCACATGTCTCATTCCTGACATTCAGCACATCAGACTGGGCTTCTAAATCCAGCACAAGCTCACCTTGGCCTCCCTCATGAAGGACCACAACACCCTGAGGCCTCCCGAGAAGGCAACAGAGCCCAAGCCCAAAATCTGGCTGCTGCGGTGACAGCATGCAGCAGGGACCAGCAGGGGAGACTGGCACATGGGGACAAGGCTGGGCCTTTGCCCTGCCTGCACAGGCTGAGAGGGCACAGGGGACAGAGACCTGTGATCCCTCAGAACATGGCATGATGATTTCAGCCACATTGCCACACATGCCAGTCTGACCTGTCAAACTTTCCATGAGCCAGCAATGTGCCCTTGTTGCCATGGGGGCCAATGGGTTCCTGGGCTGCATAGAAAAGAGTGTTCTTGCCAGAAGCTCTCAGTGAGCCCCATGTCACCCATGCACCTACACCAGGAACATTTGTGAATTGCAGACTGGAGGTCTGCATCCTGTGTGGGGGCCAATGGGTTCCTGGGCTGCATAGAAAAGAGTGTTCTTGCCAGAAGCTCTCAGTGAGCCCCATGTCACCCATGCACCTACACCAGGAACATTTGTGAATTGCAGACTGGAGGTCTGCATCCTGTGAGCTCTGCCCCAGCCAGGCACCGGCAGCTCTGGCCACTGCCCCCACCTTGATCCCAAAACCCCTTCCTGTGGGACCCTCAGAGACTAATGCTGGCACTAGCCCAGGCCCCACAGAAGGTCCCCTGGAGCCCCTGTGCAGCCGTGGCCCACCTTCCCCTGCTCAGGAAGGGCAGAACTGGGCAGGCAGGAGACCTCCTGATGCCTCCCTTACCAATGCACTCAACGTTGACTTGAATGTGGATCCAGTCACCTCTGCTGTCCTAGTGAATATGAGGATGGCAGAACGCTGGAATAGGCTACCCAGGGAGGTGGTGGAGTCTCCTTCGCTGTCCGCCTGAGGGCAGCTCAGCATTACTTCCTCATTCTTCTTGTAATTCTCCTGGTCTGGTACCAGCTGGAGCCTTGGGTCCCACTGGGGCCTTTTGCATGTTTCTGGCAGAGATGAGAGTGGGTGTTAATTGGAATGGAAAAGGTCAAGGAGGTGGGGCAGGGGTAGGTGGTGGCATACGAGCAATTGTTCGGTTTGCGGTAGAGCAGGGCAGCCAGGACACCTCCTGATGTCTCCCTTACCGATGCACTCCACCCTGGACTGAATGTGGATCCAGTCACCTCTGCCGTCCCTTCCCAGCCATAGGTCTCTGTATAAAGGATTCCAGCTGGTTATGGTCTGGTCTTCCCCTAAACACTTCAAGCGGGTGAAGGATGGCTGGAAATCCTTGGGGCAGCTCAGCACCACTTCTTCGTTTTTCCTGTAATTCTTCCGGTCAGGTGCCAGCTGGAGTCTGGGGTCCCAGCTGGGCCTTTTACACGTTTCTGGCAGAGGCAAAGTGAGTGTTACCACAGCCTGAAGCAGGGGGTTTCCCACCTTGTCTCTCCCTGCCCACCACCCCTGACCACTGGGCTACCTCCACACGGCCATCCCCACCCTCAACACAGCTCTGTGCCTGCCCAGGACAGCCCAGGTCCCCATCACCCAATGGAGGACATTGCTCTTCCCCCAGCTGCATCTCCCACAGCCTCCAGCCTCAATGCCAAGCGCTGACCCAACCCCAGGCACTCAGAGCTCCCTTCCGTTCCCTCCACTCCAAGTCCTGGGGCTGCATAAGATGTCCCCTAGGTCCCTCACTTGCATGGGCAGCAAGGGGCACATGTAGATTTGTGCACTTCCAAGTGGCACTTGGAGGTGCAGCAAAGACCATAGCACCCCTGTGGGCACCTCATTGCTGGTCCCAGATCCTGCACCAGGCCCCAGCACCCATCAGCAGGGCCCCATGCCTGCCCTGCTCAGGAAACACTCCAGGAGCTGCTGTCTTGCCCAGCTGGCTCCAAATTGCCTCTTGTCTCCTGCCTGGCCTGTCCTCTTCAACACTTTGCACAGGCAACACAGCCTCAAGGAGGGACTGTGGCGTGCCTGCTGCTCAGCTGGACAACGTCACAAGTGGCTATCAAGGGTGAAGGTAGCGAGGGGACATGGGAGAGCTGCTGCTGCTTCACTTACCAATACACTCTACGGCTCTCTCAATGTATGTCCAGGCACCTGTGCTGTTTGTGCCCCACCAGGCATCTCCATAGACTGCTTCTCCAGAACTGATTCCCAGAAATTCCCTTGCACATTTGACCTTGGTGTAGGACGGCTCGAGATCTCCAGAGCAGTTCAGCGTCAGTTCTTCATTCTCTTCATAACTGTTTTTGCTTGGTACAAACTGGAGTCTTTCATCCCACTGGGGTTTTGGGCACCTCCCTGTCAGAGTAAAAAGTGTGAGATTCCTTCTCAGGGACAGGGGATGCTCAGGCATTGGAGGACAGATCAAAGAGCTCTTTGGCAGTTCTTCATTGAGGAAACTCTGCTCTGTGGAAAAGTGGAGCCTGTGTCTCACTGGGACACCGGCAGAGGGGAGAAAGACATCAGCACTCTGGGAAGGGGGCAACTGTGGGTCTGCTACTCCAAAGACATCACCCCAATAAGGCAGTGGCATGCTTTGCTTGTTTGTTTAGAGCTTTCCTATGCAACCAGCAGCAGGCGATGGACCGACTGGAGCATCCGAGTCAGGACCAGGAGAGAGACCATGGTGCAAGTGTGGCCACCTCCCTGGGCAAGAAAATCGACAAAGTCTTTTTTAAACTACCCAGGAACTAGCTCAGCCAAACAGGGAACTGAGCTGCAGCACAAGAGGCAGTAAATAGGAGGTGGAAGGAGAAGCTTCAAAAGATCAAGAGAAGCACTGCCTCTGTGTGCTGAGAGGGTGCTCGGAAAGCCCAAGCTCAGCCAGAGCTGACTCTGGTAAGGGATGTCAGGGAACGCTACTGGGCGTGGAAAAGGGGAGCTCTTCCCCATCCTAGACTTTTCCAGGGTATCTGTGGGTCACAAAACTGCTGAAAAGAGGAGTTTTTCTATCCCAACAGGATAGGGATACAGGGAGAGGCTGAGTGAATATGAGGATGGCAGAACGCTGGAATAGGCTACCCAGGGAGGTGGTGGAGTCTCCTTCGCTGTCCATTCAAAACCCGCCTGGACATGTTCCTGTGCAACCTGCTCTAGGTGGACCTGCTTTGGCAGGGGGGTTGGACTCGATGATCTCCAGAGGTCCTTTCCAACCCCATGTGATTATGTGATTCCACCTCATGCCCAAGCACTGCTAAGGGCCACAGGCCTTATCATCACCCCTATCTCCAGGACCCCAAAGACTCCCCTGGTTTTTGCCCACCCATGGGATGCTTGAAACCCCATTCTGTTGGCTGCTATCATGCCCAGGTGAGCAGTGCAGCACTGACAGCCTCCACAAGCAGGGCCCTCCCAAGCTCCAGAGAAGCTAGCCAGAGAAACAACCAGCGCAAAGTGCCTAAGTCTCAAGCTGAACCCCTCCAGTGCTCCTCCTCCCCCCAGTTCACAGCTGCAGCTTTCCATCTGGAGGCAGAAGACGTTGGCTGCTCTCTCCCATGCTCTCTGCACCAAGGACAGGGGCTCTGGGAGCACAACAGCCCCAGTGAGCATCTGCTGCCATTGCACACCCTCCTGACTTGGACCCTCAAGGAAACTCCCAGCTTGCCCTCAGACCCCCAAAAGCTATGTCCACAGCACTGGACACAACGCTCCACTCCGTGAGTGTTACCACAGCCTGAAGCAGGGGGTTTCCCACCTTGTCTCTCCCTGCCCACCACCCCTGACCACTGGGCTACCTCCACACGGCCATCCCCACCCTCAACACAGCTCTGTGCCTGCCCAGGACAGCCCAGGTCCCCATCACCCAATGGAGGACATTGCTCTTCCCCCAGCTGCATCTCCCACAGCCTCCAGCCTCAATGCCAAGCGCTGACCCAACCCCAGGCACTCAGAGCTCCCTTCCGTTCCCTCCACTCCAAGTCCTGGGGCTGCATAAGATGTCCCCTAGGTCCCTCACTTGCATGGGCAGCAAGGGGCACATGTAGATTTGTGCACTTCCAAGTGGCACTTGGAGGTGCAGCAAAGACCATAGCACCCCTGTGGGCACCTCATTGCTGGTCCCAGATCCTGCACCAGGCCCCAGCACCCATCAGCAGGGCCCCATGCCTGCCCTGCTCAGGAAACACTCCAGGAGCTGCTGTCTTGCCCAGCTGGCTCCAAATTGCCTCTTGTCTCCTGCCTGGCCTGTCCTCTTCAACACTTTGCACAGGCAACACAGCCTCAAGGAGGGACTGTGGCGTGCCTGCTGCTCAGCTGGACAACGTCACAAGTGGCTATCAAGGGTTTTAGTAAGGGAGCAACGGGAGCATGAGGCAGTCTCGTGCAGACCTCAGCGGGCAGGGGAAGGTGAGCAGAACTGGGCCATAGGCACACCAAATTGACACAAAGAGCCACTGAGGAAACAGCTGGCAAGGCCAAGGCACACAAAGGGACTTTAGTAAGGGAGCAACGGGAGCATGAGGCAGTCTCGTGCAGACCTCAGCGGGCAGGGGAAGGTGAGCAGAACTGGGCCATAGGCACACTCAGCAAGTGACACGAGCTTTTGCTCTCTGGGTCTTGTCTAGAAAATGCATATGGATCGTTCAGACTTTGGTGGTTACTCCTGAACAGCAAGGACACAGGAGACAAAGAGAAAGTTGAAAAAGCACATGGCTATGGCCAGCATGACTCCTTGACAACACTAAAGGATAACAGCCAGAACTTCATATTGGTGCCCCACACCTCTTCTGCAGACACAGGTTCAAGGAATCTGCCCCAGCCCCTCAGAGCCAATGCTTTTACTGAGCCCATCACAGCCTCCCCCAGCTGGGACTCCTCAGGGCAAGGAGGGGAGAGCCATGACTATGGACAGACCTTCTCAGGATGGGCTGTGCGGAAGAGAAGAAAGGGCCAGGAGCTGCTGTTGGGATGAGGGGAACAGGCTCCATCCTGCCCTGGATAGCAGAAGACATTGCTGGTGGAAGGAGAAGCTTCAAAAGATCAAGAGAAGCACTGCCTCTGTGTGCTGAGAGGGTGCTCGGAAAGCCCAAGCTCAGCCAGAGCTGACTCTGGTAAGGGATGTCAGGGAACGCTACTGGGCGTGGAAAAGGGGAGCTCTTCCCCATCCTAGACTTTTCCAGGGTATCTGTGGGTCACAAAACTGCTGAAAAGAGGAGTTTTTCTATCCCAACAGGATAGGGATACAGGGAGAGGCTGAGTGAATATGAGGATGGCAGAACGCTGGAATAGGCTACCCAGGGAGGTGGTGGAGTCTCCTTCGCTGTCCATTCAAAACCCGCCTGGACATGTTCCTGTGCAACCTGCTCTAGGTGGACCTGCTTTGGCAGGGGGGTTGGACTCGATGATCTCCAGAGGTCCTTTCCAACCCCATGTGATTATGTGATTCCACCTCATGCCCAAGCACTGCTAAGGGCCACAGGCCTTATCATCACCCCTATCTCCAGGACCCCAAAGACTCCCCTGGTTTTTGCCCACCCATGGGATGCTTGAAACCCCATTCTGTTGGCTGCTATCATGCCCAGGTGAGCAGTGCAGCACTGACAGCCTCCACAAGCAGGGCCCTCCCAAGCTCCAGAGAAGCTAGCCAGAGAAACAACCAGCGCAAAGTGCCAAAGTCTCAAGCTGAACCCCTCCAGTGCTCCTCCTCCCCCCAGTTCACAGCTGCAGCTTTCCATCTGGAGGCAGAAGACGTTGGCTGCTCTCTCCCATGCTCTCTGCACCAAGGACAGGGGCTCTGGGAGCACAACAGCCCCAGTGAGCATCTGCTGCCATTGCACACCCTCCTGACTTGGAGCCTCAAGGAAACTCCCAGCTTGCCCTCAGACCCCCAAAAGCTATGTCCACAGCACTGGACACAACGCTCCACTCCACCCCACTCTGTGTACCCAGCCTTTTCTCTGCACTTCACCCAAAATGAGCCTGCCTGCTCCTGCTCTGCTTGACGTGTCACCCAGACTGGCCTCACCCAGTCCGTGAGGAGCCATTGCGGCAGCAGGTGGCCTCCGCTGAAACAGGATGAAACACCTCTCTGCAGCCACAGGCACCTCCACCACTGCCCACTTCCTGCCCACCGGCACTCCTGGGGCTGCACTCCCTTACGCTGGAACAGGGGCATCACCACACTTCCCTTATCTGGCAGGGGGTTTTCACGCCATCATCTCAACCTGCACCCAGGTCCTCCACCGCAAAGGCCAGTGGCCTCCACCCCCATCCTTAGTGATTGCATGTGTTGTTCAGGCAGGACACTTCTTCCCCTGCAGATGGATACCTCCCACAAAGGCAAGGCAGAAGCAGCCTTGTGCAGAAGGAGGATGGGGGATGCAACGAGAGAACAGCCTGGATCAGTCAGGAGGCTGATGATGACCTGCAATGCAAGAGGACACAGGGACAAGCAGGTGGCCCTCCAGAGGGAGTACAAATTGACACAAAGAGCCACTGAGGAAACAGCTGGCAAGGCCAAGGCACACAAAGGGACTTTAGTAAGGGAGCAACGGGAGCATGAGGCAGTCTCGTGCAGACCTCAGCGGGCAGGGGAAGGTGAGCAGAACTGGGCCATAGGCACACTCAGCAAGTGACACGAGCTTTTGCTCTCTGGGTCTTGTCTAGAAAATGCATATGGATCGTTCAGACTTTGGTGGTTACTCCTGAACAGCAAGGACACAGGAGACAAAGAGAAAGTTGAAAAAGCACATGGCTATGGCCAGCATGACTCCTTGACAACACTAAAGGATAACAGCCAGAACTTCATATTGGTGCCCCACACCTCTTCTGCAGACACAGGTTCAAGGAATCTGCCCCAGCCCCTCAGAGCCAATGCTTTTACTGAGCCCATCACAGCCTCCCCCAGCTGGGACTCCTCAGGGCAAGGAGGGGAGAGCCATGACTATGGACAGACCTTCTCAGGATGGGCTGTGCGGAAGAGAAGAAAGGGCCAGGAGCTGCTGTTGGGATGAGGGGAACAGGCTCCATCCTGCCCTGGATAGCAGAAGACATTGCTGGAAGGGCAGCCTTCCTCCAGACACCAGTGATGGGTAACATGACTCATGACCCATCCAATGTCTTGGTAAGCCACTTCTGCTCCCATTTCCCCTCCAGAAAAAATGACTCAAGCCTCAGCCCCCCTAGACCCTTCTGCAAAAAGCACCCCAAATGCCGTGCCCAACGAGGTTGGATGAGGCTTTGGGCAACCTGGTCTAGTGGGAGGTGTCCCTGCCCATGGCAGGGGGTTTGGAACTCGACGAACTTCAAGGTCCATTCCAACTCCTGAGTAACATGCTCTAGCTCTAGACAATCCTGCTTCAGCAGGGGAGTTGGACAAGATGATCTCTATGGTTCCTTCCAACTCTAAAAATTCAGTGAAATTCAGTGAAACTCTAACCATTCTATGATTCTATGATTATATGGCCTCAACAGGTGCCAGCAACCCAGTGCACAGCAGACAGTCTGGATACAAAGAGCCTGGCAGAGACCCAGGAGGTCCCTCTAGTCCTCCTGGCACAGAAAAGGAACAGAACAACACTGTTAAAGAACAATCCCACCAAACTACAGCTCTACCAGCCATGGGGACTGTGGGAGAGAGCAGACGTCCCAGCTAACACAGGGATTCATCTCACAGCTCCCCACGCCTTTGCTGAGCATCACCACCACCTTCCCCTGAGACAGGCATCTCCTCTGATTGTCACAGGAAGGCCACATACCATGGCTTCATCTGTCCACTGTGTAACAAGAACCTGTCACCTCCTGCTCCCAGGGACACTGCCCACTCCCCAAAGGGACAGTACAGCTCCCATGCTCACGGAGACTTTCCCAGCACACCAAGGCTTCACCACACCACAACCCAGTGGGTGCCCAAGTGTCTCAGGACCTGCTTCAGCCCTCCCCAGCACCCCACAGAACGGGGTAAAGCTGCCCAGAAAATGGGCAGGGAGAGGAGCAGCAAAACCTTTTCTGCAAGAGAGAGGTACAACCCACCCTTACCTCCTTCCTCAGCTCTCCCCAGGTTCTTGGAACCAGGGTCCTTCTGTATCCATGCAGGCAATTGAGGTGCAAGGACCAGGAGAAAGGACAGAGCCAGCCCTCGCAGGACCATGCTGGCACAAAGTCCTCAGGCAGGACTCAGTCTGAGCCGCTCGGGAGAGGTATCAGTGTAACCCAGCACAGGAGAGGTGCCAACACAGAAATGAAACAGCCACGTAGGGAAATCACATGGGGTGCAAAAAAGCTTCCTCTTCAGAAAGAAAGTGTCCCACTGGCCACAGGACTTCTCCTTGTCCATCTGCCCACAAACAGCACCAGGTCCAGGCTCAATGGGGTCTCCTGGGTGTCTCAGTCCAGCCTTTTTGCTGGCTACCTCAGGCCCCTGCAGCCCTGCTCCCACAAACACCTCCAAAACCTTCTCAGCTCTGCCTTGCTCCTCTCTCCCTCCAGAGCCAATGGTGGATGTTGAGCAAAACACCCCAGCCCTGCCCAGGCCCATCCCGGGGTGCTCTCATCATGCATCTACTTTTGCCTTGTACTCTCTCTACTTATTACCTTGAAGTGACCCATGACCCATGAACCGAACCAGCCAGATGTAGGTTTTTTCCAGTCTCCTCCAAAGCTTTCTGCTACCGTGGCTCTGAGCTCCACTTTCTCAGTACCTTCTAGGATGTTAAGTGCCTTGAGGTGTACAGAGCACACAGCACTGGGGTTAAGGGGGTCTTCCTGTCCCTGGCTGGGTCATGTGGGGTCTTTGTGTATGGTATTCCCTGGGTGCTCCTGGTTTTGGCCATAACTCCAAGGATGGCTCGCTCATAGTCCCCCAGTCTCCTGTCCCTGAAGACATCACCACCAATCTCTTCTCTGAGTCCATTTCCAGCTCACACACTGTTGCATGTCTTCAAGCTTCCATGAGTCCTGGCCTCCGGTTATGCTGCAGCTTCTCCTTCAACTCCGTGGTTTATGCGGCCTCTCTCTCTCTTTCACTTCCTCATGCTGAAGAGCTCTGGATTCATTCTGATTAATTGCTTATAGGGTTATCCTGCCGTGGTCCATCCTCCTCCCTCACCCTGTCTTCACCGAGATGCAGGCAGCAGGCTGGCATGCAGCTCTCCTGGCATGGGGAGCGTTGGCACAGGCAGTTTGCAAGGAAGCTCTCTCTCCCTGCCTACATTCCCTGAGAACTGTGCTGACCTCATGTCCGTAGGCACGTGTGTCCAAGATGGACAGACTTGGCACAGACCCAAGGTCAGCAGCCCTAGAGCTTTCTGTCCACCAGCTCCCAGCGTACATCCATAGCAGGGTGGGTATTATCCATTCTGGGATTATTTCGTTTGGAGGGCCTAGGGTAAGATCCTGCTGGAGCTATACCATAGACTGAGAACCAGTGCCTGCGTGCTCTGAGGTTACACTTCATGGCTCACAAGTCAGGATACTTCACTGGCCCTCCTGTCTTTCTGCTGTGGCCTGGGATTCCTGCGAACTCCTCATATTGCCTATCAGACCTCCACCTCTGTACCCCACTGCCCCTCAACACATTCTTTTGCCAGAAGACCCACAGAGCCCAGTGTGACTCATGCACCTACATCAGGAACCTCACCCCAACCTGTGGATTGCAGGATAGAGCCCAGCACGCTGGTCACTCTGCCCTGATGTGGGCAGCCCTGGCCACTGCCACCTCCTTGATCCTGAAGTCCCTTCTTGTTGGGACTCAGGGACTGAGGCTGGCACCATCCCCACACAGGGTTCCCTGTAGCCCCAGGGCACGCACAGGGCAGGCTCAAGAGCTGCCTCGACACTGCTCTCAGCAGCACCTAACATTTCCCTGGGCAGTCAGAGCCAAAACCTGTGCACAGAGAACCCACCTTCCCCTGCCCATTTTGGCTCTCAGAAATGGGAGTTCTCTTGAGGACTCAGAAGACATGCAGGAGATGCATCCTAAATTCTTGTGTGGCAAATGGAGGAAACACAAAACTTGCAAATTTTGGAGGTTCCTTGTGAAACCCAGGAGGCTGTGGCATTCCCAAAGAGAAAAGATCACAACCCCAACTGAGCTACCAAGGGAGGCGGCAGCTCTCCAGCTGCCACTTTCTGTCCCTGGGCACCCAGCAGAGGTGCATGCCCAAGACAATGCCTCCACCCTGCACTCGTGGGGCCATGCTGCACTAATTGCCAGGGCAGGACTGAGGTTTCAGCCTCACACATTCCCCCTCAGCACACGGCCTGCAAGAAGTGCAAGCACAGAAATCAAATAGCCACAGCGTCTGGTTCAAGAGGCTTCCTTGTTGGAGGAGAAACCTCTGGCGGTGTCAGAGCTGCTGCTTTCTGCTCTCAGTGCATGGACATGCAGTGTTCAAGCTCCAAGGCTTCTCGAGATCCTGCAGTGGACCAGCCCAGCGTGGAACCAGCTGGATCATGCTGCCTTCATATATAATCCTACAAAGAGACATCCCCAAACCTCCCCTGGACATTCTCCTGCCAAGGGAGGCTGTTCCTGCACCTCTTTGCTCCCAGATTTGCTGACTTTGTCGTCCTGTCCCACTGAAAGGCTCTCCAGCTAGGGTGTCCTCTGTTTTCCACACAGGACAGCCCCACATGTGCAGTGATGCTGTATCCCAGAATCCAAAAACTGCGATTCCCAAATGGACTTGAAAGTGCAGTGCTGAAGCAGCTGCACAGATCTCTGATACAGGATGAGGGCATGAGGGCACTGGTGTCCTGGAGAATACTCAGGAACAACACAGATGTTAAGATTGATAGGAATCAGCTATGAAAGGGAGCAGCAGAGTAAGAATGAAAGGGGTGGCATGCACCAGCTGTGACAGCTAGAGCACTGCTAGAGAGGCCTCAGGCAAATGACCGGCTAGTAGAAAGATGAAGAAAAAACTGCAGCTATGGAAAGACCGTGAAGTGCAGCACTGGAAAGACAAAATATCCAGGCAAAGAAAACAAAGTGTCAGAGTCAGAAGGTCACACAATTGGCTAGAGGTTTGGCAGGGGAGAGAGATGACACTGAAGCAAAAGACCACAATGACTCTGTGTTCAGGGTTGTAAAAAGCACATCCCACAACCAGCTTGTCATCCCTGAGTCCAGGGAACTCAGGAGAGCCCATGTGCCCAAGGGCAGGAGAAGAAATGGAAGTATCGCAGGTGCAACACACAGTCAGAGAAGAGGGTGGTCGATTTCTCCATCTTCCAGCAGTGAGCTCCTCACAAAGGAGGGCCTTTGGGCTGTCCCTCAGCAGCATCCAGGCTTCACCAGGCACCAGCATCCCAGAGAGCCAGAGAGGCAGTGGACAATGGAGGCTGCACCAGGGCAGCAGCAGCCAGCATCGAGCAGATCCCAAAGGACACAGGATGGGGTTTTCCCAAGAGGGACAGGCACAAATGCACCTCACAAGAGGGGAAAAGGGTACTGAGACCAAGAGAGCAGGTCACAGACCAACACAGAGGTCCAGCTAGACGATGCTAGCAGTAGGATGGGGAGGAGGGAAAGTAGGAACTCAAACTATTGCACTGGGAGTACACGGCTTCTCAGATATGCTTCCTTGAGGCTTCTGGGAGCAGGAGAAACCTGGTCGAAGCTCCTCCACAGGGACAGGGCTTTTGCACACAAAATGGAGAGGAACCACAAGAAGGTGGGAGCTGTTGCAGGGCAGGCAGCTCCTGCAAACCAGAAGAATTTATTGGTTGTTGGGACACAGCAGCACAGCTGCAAGGGCAGCGCAGTTGGGCCAAACTCAAGCAGGGGCCAGGATCTAGAAGGATTTGGGGCTACAGAGTGGGGAAAGAGGGAGTGGGACCCAGCGAGCTGCTTTGGTCTCAGAGGACACCTGCAGGCATCGGGAGGAGGGTGATACAACTTTGCCAGAGCACTGGAGGACTCTCAGAACACATCCTTGCTGGCACAAGCAGGTCACCTCAGGCTTTGGGCTGATCCTGCTCAGTGACAGAAGATGCTGGAGCTTGATGAGGGAGAGAATTTGAGAGGGAGCAATAATCCAGCACAAGCTTTATGAGATCCTGCTTCCATCCCAGGAAAACCAAGCCTGGGGAAGGGGCCATCAGCACTGAGCCGGGGACTTCAACCTCATCTTCTCCTCTCCCTCACTGCTCTGACTGTCTCTTGAGGACTCCAGGACCGGCGGGGTCTGAGGCAACATCTCTCCAGCCTGGCCACCTTTACCTGCAGAGACCAACAGCACCCAGGGCAGAGGCTGCTGCATGTTCTGGAGGGTGTGGGGGGCTCATGCCAGCATGGCTGCCTCTCCCTGCCAGGTGTGGGAATAGATAGGGCTCTCTGTGTCCTACCTGCTTCTTCCTCTGCCAGAAGAGTGCCCTTGACCACACAGTAGTTATCCACGTTCTCATAAGGCTGGAGCTCTGGGGGGATGACAGAAACAGATGTGGGATATGCTGTTCTGTCAGGTCAGCCAGAGCCAGATGGGCTGCCTGCAGCCACCACCATGTTTCCACTATGGGAACATGCCCTCCTGCAACAGACCTGCTCCTTTCCCAGCTCCCACCACAGCTCTACAGCTCTCTCTGTGGTGGGAACCCTACCTGTGTAATGGTCCTCTTCGGGTTTGCTGGGCAAGGCATTCCTTCTCCTGGGAAGGCAAAGGGCAGTCCTGGGAGTTGGGAGAGAGGCTGAGGTGGCCCAGGGCTCTGAAGAACTCAGAGGCAGAGAGATGGAGAGCTCTGCACAACCACCCTCTGGGCCTTTCACGAGCAGAGGAACAGCAGTGGTGGCAGCGACAGCAACAGCAGCAAGAGAAGGGATGTCTGAGCACACATAGTCCCTGCCCCATCCCAAGGAAGATCCTCATGATCCCCAGCCAGCAGCCCTACAGCCAAGCAATGTCCTTGGCATAAAGAGAAGAGTGAAAGCAGTGAGGAGAATATCCTTTCCATGCCCAGACACCCCAAAGCACAGCATGGCCTGAGGTAGAGTAGCGACGCCAAGAGTCCCATCTCCTCACCTGGACAACAGAAACCACAGGATCCCTGCAGACAGGGCGACCACCAGCAACACCAATACCACCACTGCGACCACCATGCCTGTCCATGAGCCCTGACACCACCCTGCAACTAACACACAGCCGGGAGTGGGTCTCAGTCTCTACCATGTGCCAGCCACGGCCCCAACCATGGCGTTGGGCGTGTGCACCATCTGTGGACACACGTGTCCAGGTTCTGCCATCCTGTATGCTGCAGGGTCAGGCAGCGAGGCACAGTCTTCCCTTGCCCTCATGTCCGCTGAGTGGGGCAGAGGGAGGCTGGGTCTGGAGCACAGGGACTTGTCCCATCTCACATACAAACCAGAGGGTCAGGAAGCTGGCTCAACATGGCTGCACACAGCAAGAGGACTCATGCACCCAAACACAGGGATGAGTATCCTCTTCTTTAGTGGAAGAGCAGAGGGGCCACCTCTGATCACAAAATCACAACCAGGAGGGGCCAGGGGCCCAAATGATGCATCACCTGGAAGCAGGACTCACCCAGCCCCATATCCCCCACTGCCGAGCCAGGCTCCCAGGGTGCCCACCCTCCCTGCCCCACTCTTGGTGGGGACGGGTTGGGTGCGCACACAACTCTGGAGGCTGCTCCAGACTCAGCACTCACTCCTCAGCCAGACCCAAGACACAACAACCATTACCCGAGATGTAGGTCTGAAATTCCAGGATTGATGCAGCCCCAGCACCAGCCACCGTGAGGCCCTGCACTGCCACCGTGTATTTGCTTCCAGGTGTCTGACGGGGTGGTGTGTACTGAGTGACAGACTGGTTCACCACCACCTGCTTGAACTCAAGGAAGGTGTCATCGTGCGCTCTTCGGGTTGTGATGTTCAGCTAGAGGAAGGGCAGGGAGTTGGTGAGGAGGAGCAGCCACCTCCCCTCCTGCACAGGGCAGCTCTGTGGAGAGGGGCTGCTACTGCTGGCTGGGGACAGGAGGGGACCTGACCCCACCAGAAACACCAGCAGTGTAGAGCTGGTGTGCCCTGGCCATGGAGGGCTCACACCTCTCCCCAGGCTGCCTGCACAGAGCTCCAGGAAGGGAGGAGCCTGGCAAGGTGAAGAGGACCATGGGGAGTCTGTGGTCCCCTGGTACCTGGTATCCGATGATCTTCCCTTTGCAGGGGGGCAGCGGCTTCCATGAGAGGGACCCTGTGTTGGGATTCAGCCACAGCTTCTCTGGTTTGTCCGGCACTGGAAGGAGGATGAAGTCACACATGGAGACAGTGAGGATTTGTCTCCCACAAAGGCTGCATATGCTGCAACACTGGCAGCAATGGTGTGGTGAGGAGGTGGAGGGTGAGGAAGGGACATGGTGTGCTCCAGGGCCCTGCACAGCCCCTTCCCCAGAGCCCCACAGGATCTCTGGACCTCTGATCCCAGGAACATCACTGCAGGGAGCAGAGGATCAAGATGAGCTATTGAGCAAAGGGCACCTTTACATTACATTTTGGAAGGCACGTACCTGTTTCCTTTGTTGTGAGAAGACGTGTGTACAGGACCGTGCTGGGGGGCAAGGAGATGGTGACACTGTAGACAGTGAAGGGCTGCAGAGGGGGACAGGTGAATGTTCCCTCCTGGCCTTGAAGCATCTTCTCTCCTTTCACCTCCTTAGCCTCACAGGTAGGGGAGGAGTGCTCTTCCAGCCGGCACCTGGCCCGAATATGCTCACAGGCATCAGGGAGCCTGCAGATCCACTTCAGTGTGATGCTGGTGCTGGTAATCTCCACGCTCTCAGAGACAACCTGGAGGACATCTGTGAAGGAAACATTGCAAGAGGGTCACTCACTTCCCTTACCCTCCCAGCCTTGCAGCCAACCTCCATCATCCCCACTGTTCCCTCACCAGCCTGTCCACACAAGGCCATCCTAACTTCTCCCAGGCACATCTCAGGCACTGTCTGCACCTTCCTCTTGCCCTGTTCCCCCTGTTCCCGGAGGTACCCTGGGTGATGCAGGGACTCTGGGACAGCAAGGGCAAGTACTTGAGGCCCTCCCGCAGCTGGGGCCAGCCACTGGTCTGGTGCTTATCCCTTTCACACCAGCAGTGTCTTAGCCAACACACCCAGCAGCCAGGTCTGTGCTCTGCCCTTCTCCTCCTGGACTCTCATGCTCTTCTCCAGGCAGACCTTTCTGGCTGGTCTGGGCACACTGACTGGGACTCTATGTGCAGCAGTGAGGACTTGTCCCCTCGGTGAGGTGCTGGCTGCCCCAGCTGCCAACAGCACGGACACAAACATGGGATGCATCAGCTGCATTTTTTTTTGGAATGAATGTCCACACTATGCCCTGACCAGCCCTCTCACAAGGCACCAATGCTGTGAGACACGTGGCACTGCTATCTCTGCCTGGGGAGAACAGGCCGTGAGCACTGAGAAAGTGGATGGTCATCTCACTCACCCACACAGGTCAAGTTCCCCTCCACAGGGTTCCAGCGGCCCGTGCCGTTCTTCCCAATCCAGCCGCTGCGAGGAATCAGGGAGCCGGGCCTTGGGTTCAGTTTTACACATTTGATCTCTATGGGAGGAGGCCAGTGCCCCTCAGGACATCTCACCTTCACCACTTCATTTCGGTTGTAGGTCCCCCGATCTGGGTCAAAGATAGACCTGGGGTCCCAGTGGGGCTTCTGGCATTTCTCTGCACCAAGATGGAAAGGCGTTAGCAGGGCAGAGGGTCCACCCACAGGGCATAGAGGGGATGGAGCTGGGGATCCCTGGCACAGCACAGTGAGGGATGGAGCTCTGGAATGCAATACGGAGCAGCCCTTCCACACCCATCAAGGGGATGAGGGCAAGAAGGGCCCCACACTGTTTCCCCCACATCTCCCAGGAAAGGCCAGGAGGATCCAGAACTTCAGGGACTCAGGGCAACCATGAGTGGCTTGAATAAAGCTTGCAGAGAGGCTGGTAGACTCCGTGGACACCACAGCACTCTGAAGCCTTTTGAAAAGCAATAGAACCTGAGCCCAAAAGCTGGCTGCTGTGGTGATGGCATGCAGCAGGGACCAAGAGTGGAGACCAGTGCATGGGGACAAGGCCAGGCCTTTGTCCTGTTGTCACAGGGGACAGAGAACTGTGATCCCTCAGAACCTGACATGATGTTTTTGGCCACCTTTACCACACATGCCAGTCTGACCTCCAGTGCTGTAGCCCACCGCCCCTCGTCACAGGGTTTTGCCAGAAGCTCGCAGCATGTCCCATGTCACCCATGTTCCTACAACGGCAACCTCCCACCCACCCATGAATTGCAGGCTGCAGCCCTGCACACTGGGTGCTCTGTCTTGGCCTGGAATGGGCAGCTCTGGCCACTACCACTACCACCACCCCGATCCCAAAGCCCCTTCCTGCTAGGACCCTCAGGGACTGATGCTGACAGCAGCTCCAGCCTCACAGGTTCACCAAAAGCACTGGGGCAAGCTCAGGGGCTGTGTCAACACTGCCCTCAGCAGAACCTGCCATTTTCCCAGGCAGGCAGAGCCCAAAACCCCCTGTGCCCACACGGCCCACCTTCCCCTGCTCAGGGAGGGCAGAGCTGGGCAGCCAGGAGACCTCCCGCTGTCTCCCTTACCAATGCACTCCACATGGGACTGAATATGGATCCAGTCACCTCTGCTGTCCTTTCCATTCCAAGCTTCTCTGTGTACTGCTTTCCCATTGCTGATGAATGGGAATTTTCCTACACACTTGACATGGGTGAAGAAGAGCTGGAAATCCTTAGGGCAGATCAGCATCACTTCTTCGTTCTTCTTGTAATTCTCCTGGTCTGGTGCCAGCTGGAGTCTTGGGTCCCATTGGGGCCTTTTGCACGTTTCTGGCAGAGGTGAAAGTGGGTGTTAATTGGGATGGAAGATGTCAGGAAGGTGGGGCAGGGGTAGGTGGTGGCATATGAGCAATTCCCAGCAACCCCTACAGTAACTGAAGGGAGAGTGAAGGTTACACATCCATCTGCCAGGACATGGCTCCTCCACAAATCTTGTTGGAAGGGGGTTCTCCTTGTGAGTGTCAGCTTGGCCTGGGGTCTTCCCAGGCAGGGGCTGGATGAAGCTGTGCCAGAATTCACTGGAGAAGTGGCCTCAGGGAGATCTGAGAGGCCCTGATCAGGCATCAGAAGTGCATGCCAGGCCACAGTGGTGATGGTGGAAGGTCAGAGATGGAAGAATGGGACAGGATTTGACCACAGGTCTCCATAAGAGGCAAATCTTGATAACCTACTTACCAATACAAACTATGTTCCCTTCAATGTGGATCCAGGCATCACCGTTTTTCCTCCCCAGCCACACGTTGTTGTTTAGAGAGCCAGAATAATTCTGTGCCTGAGCTCCCCCTGCACATTTGACATGGGTGAAGGACGGCTGGAAACCACCATTGCAGCTCAGTGTCACTTCTTCATCCTTTGTGTAATTCTCATGGAATGGTGCCATCTGGAGTCTTGGGTCCCACCTACCAGGCCTTTGGCATGTTTCTGTCAGAGGTAAAATAGGGTGAGGAATATTTTTTGGGAGCTTGTGACACCTGTCACAAGAGGAGGCTTGTGACAGATGTCTCCTCCTCGTGACTCTGACCACTCACCTTGACACATGCAAGCATCCCTCTACTCCCACCCTGTGCGCAGGCACTGCTCAGGGGCTCAGGCCTTATCATCACCCCTATCTCCAGGACTTACAAGCCTCCCCTTGGTGCTTGAGAGCTCATTCTCTTGGCCGCTCTCATGCCCAGGTGAACAATGCAGCAGTGACAGCCTCCACAAGCAGAGCTCATTCTCCACAAGCAAAGCCCAGAGAAACTTCCCCAGGAAACAAGCAGAGCAAAGTGCTGAAGCCTTAAGCTGAACCCCACCAGCTGCTCAGGTCTCCAGCTGGAGGCAGGACATGCTGTCCAGGAAGCGTTCCTGCCTTTGAACCCCTCCTCAGGAGTACAGATCCCCAGCGGCTGCCCACAGCAAGGTGCTGTGATGAAAGGTGCCCCAGCACTGCCAGGACATGGGGGAAAGTTGAGGCACCCAGGTGCCCTGTTCCTGGACTGTTCCCCTGTCTGCTGCCAGCTCAGGAGCCCTGTGTCAGGGTCTGGGTCCTGCTGGAACTGCATATAGTCTGGGGGACTGATGGCACGTTCTGCCCGGCACAGCTCAGGTGCAATCAATCATTCAAGGCATAGCTGCTCTGATTCGGGGTAAACCACAGCTTGGGATCTCAGTCAGAGGGAGCCTTATACCTTCCATCCTGTGCAAAGGACATGAGGGAGAGTCCTTAGGGTCACCGAGCTCTGGCATCATCATCAGGGGTGAGGAGACCCCGTCCAGAGGGGTGCTGGTCCCCTCCACTTCAGAGGGGTGGCAGAGATGAGCATTTCCCAGGATGAGGCCCAAGACCCCGGGTGCATTGACCCACCTTGCACCCTCAGGTGCAGGTCAGAAGGGTTACCTGCAAGCTCTCCTGCCCACCCTTGTGCTGAGGGGGAATTGGATCCCAGACAGTGGGACCCATCAGCCCAGTGAATGCTGCCCTCTCCCATGCTCTCTGCACCAAGGACAGGGGCTCTGGGAGCACAACAGCCCCAGTGAGCATCTGCTGCCATTGCACACCCTCCTGACTTGGACCCTCAAGGAAACTCCCAGCACCAACAGCCTGCCCTCGGACCCCCAAAAGCTACGTCCACAGCACTGGACACAACGCTCCACTCCACCCCACTCTGTGCACCCAGCCTTTTCTCTGCACTTCACCCAAAATGAGCCTGCCTGCTCCTGCTCTGCTTGACGTGTCACCCAGACTGGCCTCACCCAGTCCGTGAGGAGCCATTGCGGCAGCAGGTGGCCTCTGCTGAAACAGGATGAAACACCTCTCTGCAGCCACAGGCACCTCCACCACTGCCCGCTTCCTGCCAGCCAGCACTCCTGGGGCTGCACTCCCTTACACTGGAACAGGGGCATCACCACACTTCCCTTATCTGGCAGGGGGTTTTCACGCCATCATCTCAACCTGCACCTAGGTCCTCTACTGCAAAGGACAGTGGCCTCCACCTCCATCTTTAGTGGTCACGAGTGTTGTCCAGGCAGGACACTTCTTCCCCTGCAGAGGATCCCTTCGAGTGCCCTAACGTCACATGCTTCACTACGACAGCCGAAAGCCTTGACAGACATGAAACCCTTGACTCAGTCTGAACCTCCTTAGGCATCCCCACCATGCATCTTCCCCCTCCCCTCATAACCCCCTGAAGCAGCACACATGTCCTCACACACCTGCCCAGAGTGACATCCAGGATCCTTTCTACCTTGGCAGAGGATGGGAGACCTGCCCAGCACCAAGCATCAGACCAGGGACACCAGCCATTGGGGAAAAAATCCCTCTGTTCTGGGAAAATGAACCATTCTTCAAAGGAAAGATTTTCACCCGTGGAGAGGAATGGTTGTTGCTGTTGGTATTTGTCAGGAAACAGGTCCCGAAGGCTGGATGTCCCTGAGGTGCTCTACAGTCTGAAAAGCAAGGCAGAAGCAGCCTTGTGCAGAAGGAGGATGGGGGATGCAACGAGAGAACAGCCTGGATCAGTCAGGAGGCTGACGATGACCTGCAATGCGAGAGGACACAGGGACAAGCAGGTGGCCCTCCAGAGGGAGTAGAAATCAACAGCCACTGAGGAAACAGCTGGCAAGGCCAAGGCACACAAAGGGACATTAGCAAGCAGGAGAAACGGGAGCACAAGGCAGTTTCATGCAGACCTCAGCGGGCAGGGGAAGGTGAGCAGAACTGGGCCATAGGCACACTCAGCAAGTGACACGAGCTTTTGCTCTCTGGGTCTTGTCTAGAAAATGCATATGGGTCATTCAGACTTTGGTGGTTACTCCTGAACAGCAAGGACACAGGAGACAAAGAGAAAGTTGAAAAAGCACATGGCTATGGCCAGCATGACTCCTTGACAACACTAAAGGATAACAGCCAGAACTTCATGTTGGTGCCCCACACCTCTTCTGCAGACACAGGTTCAAGGAATCTGCCCCAGCCCCTCAGAGCCAATGCTTTTACTGAGCCCATCACAGCCTCCCCCAGCTGGGACTCCTCAGGGCAAGGAGGGGAGAGCCATGACTATGGACAGACCTTCTCAGGATGGGCTGTGCGGAACAGAAGAAAGGGCCAGGAGCTGCTGTTGGGATGAGGGGAACAGGCTCCATCCTGCCCTGGATAGCAGAAGACATTGCTGGAAGGGCAGCCTTCCTCCAGACACCAGTGATGGGTAACATGACTCATGACCCATCCAATGTCTTGGTAAGCCACTTCTGCTCCCATTTCCATCCAGAGAAAATGACTCACGCCTCAGCCCCCCTAGACCCTGCTGCAAAGAGCAGCTGCTCCTGCTGTGCCCCCTGGGGACGTCAACAGGCACCAGCAACTCCAGGACACAGCACACAGTCTCCATGGGGAAGCCCAGAGACTTCATAGGAAAGCGCCCAGCAGAGATCCAGGAGGTGCCTGTTCTCCTCCTCGCATGGAGATGGAACAGAACAACACTGTTAAAGAACAATCCCACCAAACTACAGCTCTACTGGCCATGGGAGAGAGCAGAAGTCCCAGCTAACACAGGGATTCATCTCACAGCTCCCCACGCCTTTGCTGAGCATCACCACCACCTTCCCCTGAGACAGGCATCTCCTCTGATTGTCACAGGAAGGCCACATACCATGGCTTCATCTGTCCACTGTGTAACAAGAACCTGTCACCTCCTGCTCCCAGGGACACTGCCCACTCCCCAAAGGGACAGTACAGCTCCCATGCTCACGGAGACTTTCCCAGCACACCAAGGCTTCACCACACCACAACCCAGTGGGTGCCCAAGTGTCTCAGGACCTGCTTCAGCCCTCCCCAGCACCCCACAGAACGGGGTAAAGCTGCCCAGAAAATGGGCAGGGAGAGGAGCAGCAAAACCTTTTCTGCAAGAGAGAGGCACAACCCACCCTTACCTCCTTCCTCAGCTCTCCCCAGGTTCTTGGGACCACGGTCCTTCCATAACCATGCAGGCAGTTGAGGTGCAAGGACCAGGAGAAAGGACAGAGCCAGCCCTCGCAGGACCATGCTGGCACAAAGTCCTCAGGCAGGACTCAGTCTGAGCCGCTCGGGAGAGGTATCAGTGTAACCCAGCACAGGAGAGGTGCCAACACAGAAATGAAACAGCCACGTAGGGAAATCACATGGGGTGCAAAAAAGCTTCCTCTTCGGAAAGAGAGCATCCCACCAGCCTCAGGGCTTCTCCTCGCCCATCTGCCCACAAACAGCACCAGGTCCAGGCTTGATGGGGTCTCCTGGGTGCCTCAGTCCAGCCTTTTTGCTGGCTACCTCAGGCCCCTGCAGCCCTGCTCCCACAAACACCTCCAAAACCTTCTCAGCTCTGCCTCACTCCTCTCTCCCTCCAGAGCCAATGGTGGATGTTGAGCAAAACACCCCAGCCCTGCCCAAGCCCATCCCGGGGTGCTCTCATCATGCATCTACTTTTGCCTTGTGCTCTCTTTACTTGCTATCTTGAACTGACCCATCCTCAACAACCTGGCCACTGATGCCCGCCAACAGACCTCTTGTATCTGACAGGCTCCTGAACCAGCCAGATGTAGGTTTTTTCCAGTCTCCTCCAAAGCTTTCTGCTACCGTGGCTCTGAGCTCCACTTTCTCAGTACCTTCTAGGATGTGAAGTGCCTTGAGATGTACAGAGCACACAGCACTGGGGCTAAGAGGGTCTTCCTGCAGCTGGATGGAGAAGATTTCTTCCTGTCCCTGGCTGGGTCGTATGGGAGGGAATTCCCTGGGTGCTCCTGGCTTTGGGCCATAACCCCAAGGATGGCTCACTCACACTGTCCAAGTCTCCTGTACCTGAAGACATCACCACCAATCTCTTCTCCAAGTCCATTTCCAGCTCATACAGTGTTGCATGGCTTTAAGCTTCCATGAGTCCTGGCCTCCTGTGCTGCTGCAGCTCTCCTGGGCAACCCCTCTTTCAACTCTGTGGTTTCCCTGCAGACAGGAGTAATGATTGCTCCATGGTTCAACACAATCAGTGTTCTCAGAACAGTTGCTGTCATCCAGGCTGCTCTTGACCACCTGGATGGGACTGGTTGGCCCAAAGGTCCATGGCAGGTCCATTCCCAGGAACCATCACCCTCAGTACCACAGAAGAGTGCTTGGTGTACCTACCTGCATTACCTCAGTAGAGCAGCAACACTGAGGGATTTCTGGAAGCTAGGTCTCCCCTAGACTCAGGAACATGAGAGTGCTTGGTGTACCTACCTCAGTAGAGCAGCAACACTGAGGGATTTCTGGAAGCTAGGTCTCCCCTAGACTCAGGAACATCAGTACAGTGATGTGACAGTCCAGCTGTTGTGAGATTGATGGGGTAAGGTCTTCTAGCACACTTTCAGCAAGAGGAGAAATAGCACTAGACCCAC